CTGCAATTGGTAAGATCTCTCACATCTTTTTATTTTATTAATTTACTCAAAAGTCAATGTAGTCTTCAAAATTATTATTACTTATAATGACTATACCATGATCAACATCTCTACTCTTGATTATATCCTCTATTCATCTTTTACTCTTGCTTCCATCTTGTGGTGCACCTTATCTATCATCTACCACATTATTACTGTTGCACAAGCAGGAAATGAAATAGGAGGTGGAGTCAGAGTTTATTATCCTGTTATTAAAATCTTGGTGGAGTCATCAGCACTTTATTCTATATCTTTGATTTTATATATAATCTTCTTTGCTTGTGACACTTCTATAACAGGTTACTTTGACTTTCTAGCAGCAATTGCAAGGGTATGTTTACATTCTATTGTTGACTTTATATCTGACAGATATTATATAGGGCATTGCTCCAACTCTTCTTGTTGGACATGTTGCAGCAGGTCATACTCATCCAGACAATTCTTGGCAGGAAAGCACTGCATCAAGCTCACTTCACTTTGGGATACATTCTGGAGATCATGACTCCCAGCAGGACTCCATAATGAATGGTGACCTTGAAGCTCAACAGATGATAGATGATGAATATGGCCATCACATTGCAGTGGAATCCCAGGAAGATATTGGTATCAACAGTTCAGAGGGCATCATCCATAGAGACTATAATGGGCTTGATGTGTTGGAGATACAAGTATAGTTGAAGCAGTTTGGTATTTACATTTCATATTATTTAATTCTTCCATTTCTTCTGTCTAGTTACATGCATACTGGGTATGCATAATATTTATATCTCATAGTTTTATCTGCATACCTGCAGCAATTGACAATAAGACACTCAGACAAATATCCACCCATTCATAAGCTTTTATATCTTCCCTCAACTGACCCATGAACTATTGTATCTAAAGTTGAAGGCACACATACAGTGGTGATCCCACCATTCTTTGACATATACATAAGGAAGAAAATGCCAGTGAGTACACTTGCAATGCTTTTCCTCTCAGATGATCACATCAACTCTGTTAATTTGTCAAATACAATCTTACACTATCCTTCAAGCCCACTTCTTTACATCCTCGGTAGTAGGCCCAGTGGGATCGTCCGACGCAGCAAGGTTACACTGGTGGAACGCCCGAACCTGGTCCGAAGTGAAAGCACCGACGACGCTATGCAGCACACCGCGATTATGGAATATGACCAGATCCTTCTCTTTCCAATCGTGCGGGTACACAAGCTAAGAATACAATCAAAAATTTCCCCTACACCCGACTAAAAGTAACCCACCTTTGGTGCAATAGCCGGACGTTGCATCTTGTACAACAACCCTCGCACTTCCTTCAAGTCCGTAAGGCGTGCACCATCAGGATACAACATGCCTTCCTTGCTCTTTCCTTCCGGAATCGACTCAACGAGCAACTCCGCCACACCACAAGGATGAACCTGGAAATGCAGTTCCCCCGTCACCGCATTCTTCCACACGACTGGCAGGATTTTCAGCTTCGCGTCTTCCCAGGGCGGGAGCTCGGTCAATGGCACTTCCAAACCCTCACACTCGATACCCAACCCGGTTGGCATCGCATGCGCGGGAGCCATCCACACGTACGGGTGAGGCGCGTACTTGACTTTGGAATGCATGGCGAGACTCTTCAGCTAGGGAGGGAGGATATCGAACATGGTCTTCCCAGAGACGAATGCCGTTGTTCCCAGAGGTATAGGGAGCTCGTCGCCCGTCCCATCGTCGTATCGGCATACCTGCTGTGGATCAGTCGGCACGGTGAGGCCATACAGAGTGGTCACTCTAGGTGGGGATAAGTCGTACAAAGCCGCGTCAATGTGCCAGCGGTAGAATCGAGTTGCTCCCTTTGCCTCGTTAGGGAGTCTTCTAGGACCCGGAGGAAGTGGCGCGCGGCGGTGGTTTATGCGGAAGAGGAACCATGCAAGGACCAGACAAGCAAGCGCTATCGCAATATCAAGGGTCACAAGAGAGCTCGACATTCTTCAAAGGAGGGTTATCGATGGTTGGAGCGGTCGTAATGCATCCTTCTAAGAGCGCTGCTCAGTCCAAAGAATTCCCGCCGGCGATACTGAGATATTGAACAAGCACGAGAGATCTTGCAACAGAGATTCTGAAAAAACACCGTAGAGCGGCAGTCATACAGCTCCGAGTCTTGTGAGGACTACTATATGTCACATCTTCTGTTTCCGGACACTGCATGAAGGAAAACAACATGAAGAATGGTTGGCTCCGAGATTCATCCACCGACGTTGAGCGTTAAATTTTCATGGGGACCATTTTGAGTTAGACTTGTGAGACTAGCGCTAAAACAGAGTCCATATCTCGACTCGTTGGAATACGACACGGCGTTTGCAGAGAAACCGTGCCGTCTATGTCGGAATTACTCTGATCATCTTCAATCCTATTATCCGATTGTCACTCGGATCAGATTTCTTGCGGGCAGGTTCAAGTTCGCACTGTGCACTGGCAGGGATTCTAAACGAGGGGTGGAGGCTGTTGTTCTGGCACTTAAGAGTCCGGTCGGTCGGTTCCGGGACCCTAAAAGGTTTCTCGATACCCTTTTATTTGAGGGATAGAGGTAGCATAGAGCACCCTGTGCCACAGTATAGTAGCGTAACACCTAGTTAGCAGGAGATGATGACCAAATTTTCAGCTCGGTAACCAACGTATGGACATTGATGTCCCTAGTCTCTTTACTATCCTGTATATGAAGCAAGCTGTCGATATAGTCTGGTCTTTCTGAGTTTATACTTGGCAGACAATACAGGTTTTGCTCAAAAAGGTTATGATCGAATCTCATATGGCATTTATGATTTGCACGGCCTGCGCAGAGCGTTATCTCCATGTTCGACATTGTGTTGATGATTTATCTGCTGAAATGCCTAATAAATGAATTAAACTCACAAGAATGGCCTTTTGTTTGTGATGTTTGTCTGAAAGACAACATGCAGACACCCAAATTTGAACTCAGGAAGCTAGGACCTTCTATCACATAGAAGGGACTGTTACAGGACAACAGTATCCCTGCAATACCTTGGGGTTAGTTTGGCAACCTACATTTTGGCGGGCTGATCTCAACTGCGCTTGCTGCCTGGATATCAGTAAAAAAATTTGCCCTGACTGTTGAGATAGACGGCAATTTTGTGGGGAATTCCCCATTTGTTCACCGGGATACCAGCAGGGAAGTCAAACCCTTCCTTGCGAACAGGTGAGGGTTGTCATCGTTCGGCTATCTATTCATCTACATTTGTGTACACTATTAGAATCAATGCTTTGTAGTAAATAAAGCCGAGGAGGTGAACAAGCCTCAAACGAAGAACCCGACTAGATATACGACACTTGATATTTTAACATTGACTCGTCAATCCGCAGGCAATTTGTTTATATCGGTATTTTCTGGCAGTCAGAATGGTGTTCTATACCGGCATCCAAGGTACTGCAGTAAGAACACTCTGAGGCGCAGAGATCTTACCTTGCATGCGAGGAGGGATTCATAGTCCATGAATAGTCCTGTGGTTTTCATACAATCGTAGAAGGCTCCGGCGGGCGGCTATGATCTATGCGCGTCGCACGACACACGTGCAGAGTTGGAGCAGAAGATAGAATTGTTGGTGGAACTTGAACAATCAACATTTCGTCATGAACTAATTTCTGCCTGTTTACAAAGGGCATGGACTTCAACTTCGGCTAGCGATTCGGAGATGGTATTAAGGTATATCTACTGTTCTCTAGCGCCATTGAAAATGATGGTCGAAGAGATGAAACGACAGCTTCATTTCTCATGAAAGCCTTTCCTCATCGATCAGTTCCAATGCCTTCTTGCTTCTAGCTTGAATTATACACCTGAACGAAGTAGGATGGCTGCAGAAGAAAGATGAAAATTCGTATTAGGTGGGATTAGACGAAACTATCATACCTGATAGCTCCAGTCGTATGCTCTGTGTCCGGCTCGAAAGTAACGCCGTTCTCAGTATATTTTGAAATGTCAAAGACAGCTAACACCATAGCACAGGAAATGAAAATCGAGGCGTCAGCCAGCACTCTTCCTGCATCCAGAGTCAGCACAGATTATGAGGACATGCTCAGTAACAATACATACCTGAGCAAATTCTGTTATAATCATAATAAATCAAGCTATGAACTCTCGATTGTACCAGTGAAAGACCGACCGACGACCAAATCCAAACGCCATTTTGTAGGGATCAAGTTCCGGTTCTTTGTTTTCCGTCCGAATAAATCTGCCTGGATTGAATTTGAATGGTTCGCTGTATATCGTAGAGTCATGGAGCATTTTCCTATCAATGATACACAAGCAAGGATTAGACGGGGTCTTCAACGGGGTCCACATCCTACCAGATGTTTGCAATCACCAAGGAACCCTTCGGAATGAAATAACCGAATTGAACATCATCTTCAGTAGCGCAATGGGGAAGGCCTAGGCACCAAAACGTGGTGAAAAACTGCGGAAAAAATGCATGTGTCAATTCTGAAATTCTGACCTGCAGGTGCTACGGTGTGCCATCGGGTGACTTCGAGCACTAGTGCATTGACATACGGGAGGTGCTCTCGGTCATCGAAACGAGGTAACCTCTCATCCCCGATCACCGCGTCGATCTTGGCTTGTGCCTTGACCTGCACCTCCGGATATAGAAGCATCGCTTTAAAAAAAGCGTAGATAGATGCGACGGTCTAAATCTATGATTTAGGTCGAGCATTGAATGAGGAAAGAGGAACTTACTGTATCAGCTCCACCTACAGAGAACGAGAGGAATTACAGAGAGTTGGAATTAATGAATGGTTTACTGACCGGCATATAGAGTCGCTGCAAGCCATTTAATATCGAATTCTTCCTCGGCACTCACTCCACCTTCAAGTCGACTCGAGGTGAAGGAAAGACGAGCGGTTCCAGCTGCCTACACACTGTTGAGATACAGCTAGGTATAAGACAATATTCCACTAACAATTTCCTGCTTTACATAGTTATGTGGCTTTTCCACGAATTCGTTCAGTGCTGAAGCCCACTCTCGAGCGGTCCGTTTGAATCCAGCTCCAGGGAACCAGTCTGGGATGTGGATTACTAGAATATGGAGCTTCTTAGATGCAGAGAGGATGTTGGGAAGCGTCAAAACGTACGGATTGGAATAAGATTGACTAAGAAGCCGCCAGATGTCGTTGCGAGGGACAATTGGTTCACCGTTCGTTCGGCGAGCTCCACGAATGGGTCATCCTTCTCTTGGATCATGTATCCATGCGAGATTTGCAGAATTACGGCTGCAGCAGTCCTTATTACGCTGTCAATTATCAATGGCACTTCCGACGGAGCCAGCATGACTCACTTCTGGATATGTTCAGAAAGGCTTCCAGGTGCAATGACGATCCTGTTCAGACAACGACGCGTCTCCTGTTCCAACATCGGCAGAAATCGCTTCATGGTCGCGTTGCTGCCGAAAAGCTGATGGGCTAACCGACGGTGGTTTCGAAAACGCGCTCCGTATGGCATAAGAGCGAGAGATTCCTTCCATCCGATGAGCTCGCCGCCCATTCCGACGACCGGTCTATCTGAGTAGATAGAACTTTTTCTGTCCAGTATGTTGATAGCCATCTGAGCAGAATTTATGATGACCAGGCGCCGTCCAAGGACGGAAACCGATACTATGTCCCCTGGTGAAGCCGTGTATGAGTAAAGCCGTCGAATTTGCGATGAAGAGCATACCATATTTCTCCCCCCACTTAGCGAAGGAGAGCCATTCCTTTTCAGAGGGCATATCGAGAAGATTTCCGATCAAAGGGAGTCCTCGGGGACCAGGAGGGAACGGTGCATTGTGACGGGTTCTCCGGAAGAGGTCCCAGACAAAAATCAACCCCACAAGTACAATGAAAATCTCAGGGGGGTGGATATAACTAAGCAGTCCGGTGGGTTCCATAGCAGTTAGTGTTATAATACTAGAGTGCACAGGTACAACTACGAGGTATATATACTTTGCCTAGACAGTTTGAATGTAACTAGAGAGAAGAAATAGAAGAACTAAAATAAGACGAAGTGTAAACACTACTAGGTCCACGGATATAAACAGGTGCGTATGGGCGTACTTGTATATAGGCGAGGTCGTACCGTCTTTATTTTAGAAGCAAACCTCAAACTATCTTCTGGCAGTATGAATGCTACTATACCCGTACCAATGTACCGCGGTAAGAACGATAAGTCCACACAATCGGCGTACGGATCTCACCTTGGTGGTTTGAGAGGATGGCTTGAGCGGGGCCATTTGAGGGCAATCCATACATCCACAAGCAGGCTGATGATTTCATTCCATACGTTTTCCCATTGCCATGAAGAGGAAGGGCCAGAAAAATATCGATGTAGATGGCTCTGAGCGGATATGATCGGTACCCGCGCGATATAAACGCACGAAGTTGGAGCAGAGGTGCCGACAAGTAATAACATACGTCACTGGCGAAACTGCTCCAAGGGTCTTGAATGGGGTCCACATCGTTTGAGATGACCAAGGATGCCTTCGGAATGAAATAATCGAATTGAACAGATAGATGCGACGGTCTGAATCAATGATCAGGTCGAACATTGAATGATGAAAGAGGAGCCTACGGTGTCAGCCCCACCTAAAGAAAACGGGAGGAATTATATAGAGTCGCTGCAAGCCATCCTCTGCACTCACTCCACCTTCAAGTTGACTCGAGGTGAAAGAAAGACGAGACGTTCCACCTGCCTGTACATTGCTGAGAGAAAACGATACTCTACTAACCATTTCCTGCTTTACATAGTTGTGACTTTTTCCACGAAATCGCTCAGTGTTGAAGCCCCCCCACTTCTAAGCAGCAGCAGCGCGCTAGAATCCAGCACCCGAGATCCATTCTGGGATATAGCGTACTAAAATATCGTGCATCGAATTGAACCATGAGTCTAAGGACCTAGTAGCACGGATTGAAATAACGTTGACCATGAAGCCACCGGCTGGCTGGGAGCAGTTGAACGATCCGATCCATACACAGCTTCCTCGGTCAACTTCACAAACGGGTCATTTCTTTTCTTGAATCCTATATCCACGCGAAATATACACATCAAACCTCTGTCAATAGACCAGCGAAGGGGGGGGAAAAAAAAAACTCACTTCCTCACTTCCAGATATGCTCAGAAAGGTCAGACTCATTAGGTTCAAAACGGCGATGCGATGCGTCTCCAGCTCCAATATCTGCATGCTTGCTGCCCCCGACTATCTGACGCGCTAGTCGAAATCGAGCACAAGCATAAGACCGGACAAGTTCCGCAAGGCGAGGGAGGTCGGACCATCGTTACCAAAGCCTCAAGCAGTAAGAATGCTACTACTAAGAACGCAAGTCCACGCAGTCGGCGCGCAGATCTTTCCTTGGTGGTTTGAAAGCATGACTTGAGTAGGGCAATTCATATACATCCACAAGCAGGCTGGTTGATTTCCTTCCATGCATTTACCCATTGCCATGAAGAGGAAGGCCCAGAAAAATATCGGTCATAGAAGGCTCTGAGCGATGATCCATGTATTGGGGATACAATGCCCATTTACATACACGGACTTGGCCCAACGACGAACACTACAAAGCCGAGTGACTTACCCCACGACTTCCAAGGAGACATACAGCACTAACAAAAAGTTTGCATTTATTTTACTCTCCACGGTGACTAAAACCCCAAAACTACACAAGACATGATTTGACTTGACTACGTTTGCATGCATCATTGATTGAAAATGGACGGAGAAAAAGGAAGGGAAAGCAATCTATAGGTATTGGAAACCTGCGACTAAACTATAAAAAAAAAAAGACAGCAAAATGCAAGTAAGGACTGAGAGAGAGAAAAAAAAAAGGGGGGGGGGGCGCAAGAAAAAAAGACTCCAGCGACCAACGAACAAAAATTGGTATAGATAGGTGCAATGATTGGTTCCTGTATCCGCAGGGAATAGAGTTGTATAAAGCAAGGGAATGTGGCTGGTGGACCGACCGAGCGCAAATGAATAATAGTCCTCCGAAAGACAAGTGCATAGGATAATGGATGGGTCTCGAGAGATGCATACAAATTCGGTTCAACTTTTTTTTTGCAGAAATAATAGCCCTATGGAAAACGTCGACAAAAATAGATAAAACGAGAAACGATGGAGAACCGCCCGCGGTCTATTATTGGGATTGCGGTTGACGAGGAGACGAGAACAGCGAGAACACCCTCTCTGCGTTTTCCTTGTACTTCTTTAGCTTTTTGGTCTTCTTCTCTGGGCCGTCAGACCTCGTAGCCTCCGACGCACTGTGCGGATCCGGATTACCCGAATCAGCACCATTGACCGATTGGTCCGAGAGGCTCTGGTTACCGACAGACGTCGCTGACTCCTTCGACTTCAAAGAATGCGAGCCAACCATAGAGCTCGACATCGACGGCGACGGCGTCAGCAACCCCGCACTCGACGATGCAGTCAGAGTAGCAGAAGCTGATGGGTTCAACGACTTGCCAGACTTGCTGGAATACGACGAAGGTGGAGACTTGGGTCGCAGGAACTGCCGAGGGTGTTTACGGAACGTCAAACCCTGGTTTCTTCCTCTCCGCTGTGTCGGGCTGGGCGATTCGACAGTGGTACTGGTATCCGTCGAGGCTTTCGATACGCCAGAGAAGGACCTCCCCACGGAACGATGCGACGGCGTTGATGCCTTGCGGAACACCGCCAACCTGTATCGATCCACAACTCCCCGAGCAAAGTAACTCGTGCCCTTCGTCCCATTCCGGTCCTCGCCATCTCCCGCTTCGACAAAGTCCCAATCATCATCCTCATCATCATCGAATCTGTCCGTGGTCGTGTCTTCGTCGCCACCATCGGAAAGGTACCGGTCCAGAGCGGCCACACCTGACTTTTCTCTTCGGGGAGCACGCGAGACGCGACTGTTCGGCTTTGGTGCCGGCTTTGAAGCTGGCGCGAGCTTGACCTTGACGTCCTTCTCGGCGTCCAATTCTTTGCTCTTCCGGGCTTTGGCGTCTGGCGGTTGAGGTGTTGGCTCGGGGGTAGGTTCCACACTTTCTTCTGGACGCGGTGGCGAGGGTCCTACAGGCGATTGAGGTAGAGGAGGAAGCATCGAGACGTCCGTATCATCCGGTGCTAATACCATCGGACGAGCCTCTGGTGTTTTTGGTTCTCCGAGATCCGCCTCTGTCTCATCAAATACCATTTCCGTCTCAGGCTTGGGCGTCTCAGGCTCAAGAGCAGGCTCAAGAACAGGAAGAACCTCTTCTGGCACCAACTCCTCTTCGTCCGTCTCGCTCTCACTGCTAGACACCTCCACTTCATCGCCCTCATCGTCGATGACAACAGAGTGCCGGCCTTTGAACGAATATCCATCAAAGACGTCGACGGAATCATCTTCGGGCTGCGAATGCGGTGCTATCGACGAGCTGCGTGATTGCGATGGAGTAGTAGTGGTCTCCTCTCCATCTGTTCGATCCGTGTCCGTCTGCTCGTGTTCTTGATCATCATCAGTCTGCTCGTTCTCGTTGAATTCATCAAGAACAGGCTCCATGTCAAGGAAGGTGTCATCAAAGTTCTGCGTATCACTAGCATTCAAGGGGTCGATGGGAGGAATGTACGGGGCTGTGAACAAGCAAGTCAGCCGAGAGGTCAACGTCCAAGAGAAACGAACGAACGTATATAGCGCTTGTAATACACATGAGACCAATCTCTGTCATGATGAATTAAGCGCCTCGCCCATTAATAGAAGAAGCAATCAAACCCACATCATCGAGAAGTAAGGATGCCGCTTTATCCGAGGCTCACAGATACGAAGCCCAGGATTGCGTTGCAAGAGCTGTACGTTCTCATGAGCATGAAAAAGAAGCCTCAAATGCATATAACTGACACCGCGAATCAAACTCTTCGTGTCTTGATCGATTGCCCTGTCATCAGGGAAATGAAGGTCATCTTGCAACACTCGCACATACATGTCGGCATGGTTGTTCGCCCAGAAAGGTGTCTACGCATTCACGACTCAGGAACCGTTTCGCACGAGAGGACCAAGAATACTCACAATACCAGTCAACATTTCGTATAACATCGTTCCGAAGCTCCACCAGTCAATCTCATAGCTGTAGGCTAAGCCTTGAATGACCTCAGGAGCAAGATATTCCGCTGTCCCACAGAATGTGGCGGTACTATCGTTCTGTCCTACCGACGGACCAGGCCATCCAGCAGCAAGTTCGCCACCCTTCTCCGTCTTCATCCATGGAGGAGTCGGTGGCTGTGACGGCCCGGAAGAAGCAGAGTAAAATTCGCCACGCGAGCCGGAAGGCGTAGGAGGCGCGGTTGCAGCAGCGGAATGCCTCGGGAACTCTTTCGAGAGGCCAAAGTCAGTGAGGACAATATGCCCATCAGAGCCAATAAGGATATTCTCAGGCTTGAGATCACGGTAGATAATTCCTGCTGCGTGTAGACCTTCAACGCCCTCCACAATTTCGGCAGCGTAGAACCGAGCACGATCTCGACCTAGTCGACCCCATCGCGCTAATTGAGTAGCCAGATCACCACCAGGGTGGAAGTCCTTAGCAGGAGATTTAAAAAGCGATCAAAAACGACAACAGTTAATACTCACCATGACCAAGAAAAGGTTCTCTTTATCATGGAAACTCCACCACAATTTGACCACAAAGGGGTCTTTCGCTTCGGCAGCCATTTTCTTCAAGACGGCCTGTTCTGTAAGCGTATGCTGCAGCTCCTGATGGGCCAGCACGTGGCGTTTCGTGATCGCCTTCAAGGCATATAAGTCCTGCGTCGACTTGTGTCTCACAAGGAGCACCTTCCCAGCACATCCTTTCCCAAGAACCCGCATCATCTCAAAGTCATCAATAATAACCTTCCTCTGTGACTTTTTCTTCAGCGCGGGATCGATAGACATGGATCGCTTCTTTCGCATACGTCGACGACTGTTACTCTCTTCCTTCGCCGACGCGGAAGACTCGTCGTCCCCCGTTTCTGTCTGAGAAAAAGTGCCGTCTTGGTTCGATGTCGACGACGTAAATGTTCGAACAAGGCGTCTCGACTTGTCGGGGTCTGCGGAACGTGAACGGGGTATTCGATTAGTGGAACCCTCTAATACAGGAGTTTTCTGGGCATCTTCCTCAGAGGGACAGGGTGTCTCTATTTCCGTGGTCACCAGTTGCTTCTCATTCGGAGTAGCAGATGGCTCGACGGATGGTACAGCCAATGTCGTAACGTCATTCTCGACGGGTGCATCATCCTTGCGCTCCGGACTTTTCTCTTCAGATGTCACACCACCTTCGTCGCCTACAGTCTCGTGGTCGGCGTCCTGCGTCGGAAGCTTCTCATCGTGTATGCTTCCATTTTCTATAGGGTCCTCCGAGTCACGAATACTTGGCATGGTATTTTCCTTATCCTTCGTCAACCCCACGTGAGCAGCAAGATCAGACCTAACATGCTTGATGGCTCGCTCCACACGCACACTCTCCAGGTCATCCGTGCGAACGCGGACGAAACGCTTCCACACGCGTGCCTGGCGCAGCGAAGGGGTGTTTGAAATGGTCGTGAGGTAAGCTGCGACAGCTGTACTGTTGACTGTAGTAGGAAGAGTGGCGTTGATGGCGCTTGGTGTAAACGACAGAAACGGGTCGTTTTTCTCGTTTGAGGGGGAAGCGACAGGAGAGGCGATAATTGAACTAGCGTTATTGGAACGCCGGATTGAGTTGTTCCGACCACCTTTGCCGGCGGTGGGGGAAGTAAGGCGGGAAAGGGTATTAAGGAATGTTGATTTACGTTTGGGCGCTACTGCAGCAGCAGCGTCGATAGGAAGTATGGGGAGTTTAGCTCCGGGTAACGATTCGCGGAGCTTGCTGTCGAGCTCAACGATCTCCATGGCCGTTCGGGTGAGAGTGATGTTGTGAGTGGGAGCTGCGAGAGAAAAGACCGTCAGTATGCGTGCAGGCGTCCGTCTTTAAGAGGGGAGAGAATCATGCGAATGAAGGCAGGCAGTGTTGGAAACGCTGCAGCAGGCGACAATGAAAGAGACTGACTCACTCTTTATGTAAAGACTGTATGAACGAGCATCGTGCGGCGATTCAGCAACACTGACGCTCCAAGGGCCGTCCTGGGCGTCGATTCGAACTGGAGCTCGTCGATTTGGAGGAAGATCATTCGCGGCCAGCATCGTGTTGGTCGAGACGGGATCGGTGTTGTCTTCAGGGGCGGTGGCTGCTGCCAAGCCGGTCGGCGGATCGAGTGAGTCGGTGGATGTGGCAGGAGGTCGTCCTGCAATGTGGGTTTTGCCAGCGCCGCTGCTCCTGATGCTGTCGACGCTCCGTCGTGTGAAGGTGTGGTGATGGCCGAGCTCGTCAGCTGTGATGGTGTGAACGTTGGCGTCCCTGTATAGCTGGCCGAATCCAAGAACGGTACTGAATTTCCTCTTCGACGCCGGCTCGTCTGCCTTTGAAGGTGCTCTTCGGCGATATATCTGCGGCATACAATGACGCTGTCTAGGCTACCCTTGACTCCAACGACCAATGTCGACAGTAGGGTCACCGTTATCTGTGAAATGGGAATATCGAGTAGGGAATGGGGTATTCAGTCCTGTTGGAGGACGAGGAATAGGATAAGATTGGGGGGGTGGGGGGCGAGCCGCAAGAAAGGTGAACGCCACGAGTTGGCCTCGAGGCTACAGAAGATCACTGCGGCTTCAGTCGAACCTGAGTGCCGTGGTCGTTGAGTATCACGGTGACGACGACGGCGGCTGGTACTGAGCAAGATGATGGCAAGAAATAAAAATGAATGTCGGGGCGCGATGATAAATGAGCAGGGATAAAGTTAGGGAAAGGGCAGGACTGTTGCCTACCTTTTTCGGACATTTTCCTACGCCTCAAAACGTAATTTATGAAAATAACTCGCCAATCCAGAAAAAAAGTTTATTCCTGTGCGCGAAGACCATCATGAAGATGATCAGCACGTCACAATTTTATCTTAGTGCCATCTCTCAGCAGGTTCTTTCACTGGAAGATAAGAGCACGACCGCCCAAAAGGCATCCAACTCGATCCTTTCACCCCCGAAAACGAGATAACGGCACACCGTGACTGCGCAATGTCCCGAGCAAAGTTTACCATGTGTAAAGCAAAGACAAACGAACATGACCAACAACCTCAGCTGATGATTCTAAACAAGAAGCCCGACCTGAATTCACGATTGACGCCCCATCTGAAGAGGACGACCGATGTGGATTCTTGCGGACATGCAGGTAAGCCCTGGCTATGTATATGAGAGCAGTGGAAACCACAGAGAAGCCAAGTCGGATGATGGAGCGTTGGAGTTGCTAGCCTCGTGAAGCACCCTAGCTTAAATTAGCCGACGTCAACAACAGAGCTCTCTACCGCCCTACCGAAGAAACCAACGAGTGTTCCAGCGAGAAGAGATAGAATGCAGAGTGCATATCGTTTTGGGTGAACTGACAGCCCTTCGCTGCACCAAGAAGAGCGGGGCCGACCTTCAATACCAGGCATCGAGACCATGATAGCGCCGCTCTTCGCTTCTGTTGGATGTTGTCTTGGAGATCAAAGTTTGCGTACTGGGAGTTCCGGGCGGCCCCAAATCCTCTCCAAGGTTAGTTATCCCTTGGACCTTAACGGTCAATGAAATTCTAACAAATCTGTCCGAGAGTGCAATGTCATATCAGGCATGTTCATATGACAATGAGCGGCTATGCCATTTCACACGCGCACACGTGGACGTGCTCTTGTTTAGACCTAAACCTAGACCACAGCGTAAGCAGGAGATCATCTACGGCTGACGAGATGGTCTACAAGGATGACCAAGAGAGCGATGAGGGCCGAGGAATCCGACTCGAGTGTGAGTTTTGTGAACATGTCTTTATATAAAGGCTCGAATCGCTATTTAAGGTGGAGGATGGCGACAACTCAGATCTTGACAGCGGGGACGCCGAGTCCGAGAATGATGAAAGACTTCTGAAATAGACTGTAATATAGCCCAATTGACGCGCCCGAGTAGATTTTGCTTCTGTTGAAGCACGTTACTTCCTCCACCCAACGCGTATTGAATGCGACATTTAAAGATCGCCCCAAGAGCATCCGATGAAGATGAAGACTAAGAATACACTGAATGACCTTCCTCTAATCCCAAGAAGAGAAGGACAGATGAAATCAAGGCGGATGAAACAGCCGAAGGGAAAAAACCGAGGGTTTAAGCAAGAAAAGAACTGATGGCCTTGCCGTACACCCCCCCAGTGTTGTTGGAATTTGTTTGAGGTTAATTTCGCCACACATAATGAAACGCCAGCTTGGAAAGGGGGGTCGTTCGTCAAAAGTGGTGGTTACCAGTTCCTTGAAACTGAGTAGTCAGCCCACACAGAAAAAGGAAGGTATGAGCCAACGGAAAACGCCGCCTCCTTATTTTCCCAAGACGGGATTCTTCCCTCCGTCAAAGCCGATATCCGCCCACGTGACTTTAAGCCGTTGAATTCACACCGTGATCCAGCTCCCGCGCCGCGCTTGGGAACCAGACCTAAACAGAAACCACCACCACACCCACGATGTCGGAAAAGCCCACGGTAGAGCCCACCGAGGAGGAGGAGCGTGAAGTCGACGTCGAAAATGACCCCCTAGCCGCTGTTGACGAGGGGGAGGAGAGTGACGAGTACGATGTGGAGGTAATGTCGTCGAAGCTGTCGTGCTGTGCATGGCGCTGACGACCCCGTACAGCAGGACGACGACGACGACGACTATGAAGAAGAGGACGAAGGAGAGGAACAGAACGGCGCCGAGGTAGGATAGTCTCCAAGGCCAATGCAATGGGCTTCATTGACGCGCCCATTCCCAGCAGAAATCCAGCCTGACAGCACTGTTACTGGGAAACGTGCGTTGCCCTCACTTTGTTTGCCATCAGATCCCAATGAGCTGTTCACAGCCAAATGGTGAAGCCGCTCCCGAGGAAGAGGAAGCTGATGAAGCGGAGGAAGACGAAGAATACGCCGAGGTACTTGCGCAGGCTGCTTCCACCAAGAAAAGGGCCATCGACGAAGTCGAGGCACACGAAGGTGATGATGCCGAGACGAAAAAGGTCAAAGCTTGAGCTTGCGCTCGAAGGTGCTAGATGATTTATTTCTAAATACCGTCTGTGTTGTAACTTGTACAATGTATCCTTGTTATCGTTCAAGCATTCCGGGGTCGCTGAAAGTGGATATTTAGTATCAGAAAGATGTCAACCCCAAACAATGTTGGTAGTTACCCCTCGAGATTTCTATTGCGGACACGGGTTGAATGTTGATTGATGAATATTACTGATGAATCCTCTTGGGGCCAAGTAATGAGAGTAGAGCAAAAAGACGTTGTTATGGCCACAGGATTAGAAAACAGACGATTTTTGGTGAGAGTCAGAGGAAGGACGGAAAGAAGGAAGGATAATCGATGGGTTAGGTCTCAGCGAAGGGCCCTCGTAATCATGCTGACACAGAAATGGATAAGAGAAGATAAGATAAAACAAAAGAAATCTCCGCTTTCCCACGCCTGGTGTGTGTATGGGTAGAAACTGTATTAAGCTCCAATAACCCATGTCATCTGAACCCAAGTGTAATGACCAATAGACTCACTTCTAAAGTAAGATGAACAATGCAGTTAGAACTAAGGAAATAATTGAGTAAAGTATGTATGGTATATAAGTTAATAGTGAAATGACTAAGAATGTGGATGTAACTACCAGGTATATATACTGTCAGATTGAAGTATAGGAGGATGGTAAACAAAAGAGTCTGTAAGGAATGGCATACATGTGGAAAAAAGGGTCAGGTTACACATGTCTCATTCCTCCAGACATGGCAGATTGTTGGTGATATTCAGGTTGGCAAGGTAATAGTAATGGTGGTCTTAATGGAGTGGCTTGATAAACAGATCCACAGCATTGACCTTTCCCTAAACAAACTCCACTTTGATGTCACCTGCTCATACAAGCTCATAGATATAGTGCTCTTGAATATCAATATGCTTGACCTTGTGATAGTTATAGATCATATTCATCAATGAAAGAACATCACAGTTGTCACATTTGAGTATCTCCAGCCTCTCTCATTCTAACCTGACCTCTAATAGCCAGAAAAACATCCACTTCAATTGCTGAGCTGCATATGTAAGTGAGACAAATTTGGCTTCAACAATAAATAGGGCAACAGTAGCTTGGTGCTTTAAACTCTATACAACTGAATCACTGGCTATCATGAAAACATACTCTGATATGGATCTCAGGGTATCCTTACACCCTTCATAGTCAGAGTCCACAAATCTCATAGGTTTAAAGCTCTCATCATATGAATACATGATCCCATAATCAATCATTGACTTGATATAGCCAATGATATGCATCAGAGAATTCCAGTGAGTTAATCCAGAGTTATTCTGGAATTGCAATAGGATGCTGACAACATATACAAGATCAGGCCATATTGTGAATTGCCCTTATATAATGGATTCCAATATGTGATAGTATGGCTTCTCTCTCATTTCCTCTTCTTCTTTACTGAAGGATAGTGCCATTGTCAATTCCAATATTATCTCCACAGGCATAGGTGTTGAGCATAGTAGTGCATTCTGCAGGTCAAACCTCTCAATCATGTGTTCTCAGTATGGTCTCTGAAAGAGTTGCACAGTCCTGGTCTGGTCCACACATATGCCTAAGAAATAACTCCTCTCTCTCTCATGTCTTTTATCTCCCAGTATTCAGTGAGCTTAACCTTTCTCCTGTTTTCTTTCTTAGTACTTGTCAAAGCCCCTCATACATTATCAGTATACCTGTCTGTAATAGTAAATGATCTGTCTTCTTTCTATTTCATCTGCACATATGAGTTTGCTCATGAAGTATTATCTGAGCTCATTGTATGTTTCAGCTAGCATCTTGAACTAGTTGTGTGCTTCTTGCATCATACCATAGATAGTATGGACAAGTTTACAGACCTTGTCTTTCTTGCCAGGTATGACATATCCCTGTGGTTGGTGCATGTAGATATCCTCCTTGGTTTCACTATTCAGATATGCTGAAATGAAGTCAACCTGCCAGAGATGAAGATCCATACTTGCTGCAATAGTCATTGTCATGCAGACTGATTTGAGATGAGTCACTGCCATCCAAGTTTCATTATAGTCAATGCCCAGCTGTTGGATGTATTCCTTTCTGACTAGTCTTGCCTTATCTCAAATTCAATTACCATCACCATCCCATTTAATATCAAAGACCCACATTGAATCCATTATGTTCATATCTAGAGTCACAGGCACCAGATTCTAAGTGTGCTTTTAAATATGCATTTCATACTCATCATCTATTGCTGCTCTCCAACACTCTGCATTCAGTTTTATAGCTTTACTGTATGTCTTTGATATGTGGTGAGATGCCTTTGTATCTACAAGGAAAGCAATGTATTCTTCTAGATCTATGCTGAACTTTCTCATCTGCACAACTGCTGCTTGTGAATGCACAGAGTTCATTGCCCAGTTCTCTCCCATAGTCCTGGCATAGCTCTCAGATTGTTAATATTCACAGGATTCAGCAGCTGCTCAAGTCAGTGATAAAATCCTTGTTGATTGATGCAGTGGTGGTGGGTTCTCACTGGTATTTGGATCCTGGATCTCATTGTTATTTAGTTCAATATTGTTTAAGTTGGTATTGGTATCTGTGGTTCATGTGTCAGTCATCTCAACAGTCTTAGACTCCTTTGGAAGATCAGAGAAGAGTCTATTGTTCAGTTCAGTCTCTTTCACAGCTGACAGTATGCAACATGATATATCCTCTTTGAATACAACATTGTGCAAGATGAAGATTTTGCCCAACTCATTGAGCAATTTATAATGGCCTCCAAATGCATATTCCAACAAGTGAGTCCTGGTCAACCAATCATCTAATTTGCTTCCACCAGACACCTGCTGCCCATTCACTGTCAGGATTTTTGCCCAACAGACACTGCCAAAAGCTTATGGGTGAAATATGTGATGTATCCTAGCAAGCTAAGGTTAATATAATGATCAAACTCTTTGCCTCTCAGTGTGACTACCACTTCAGCCTATACACTGGCAGTCATAGTCTATCAACCTCTCTATCTCACCCCTCTTATCATCATCTTTCTGCTTTAGCATCAGTTAGTGTCAGACCCTAGCAGTTGAAGTGTGAAGCATTTGTGATTGTTTGATCATCACCTGACAATCTGGTAGCATTATCATGAGATAACTGAGTGGATTCAGCATGAAATGAGTGAGCACAAAATCATATTCTGGCAGGTTACTGCAGAGCTTGAAGAGATGCATCTATGACCAGATCTAAAATGACCAAATGGATTGAACACTCTACAAAGAGATCAAGACTTTGCAAGAATAGCAATAGAAGAAAAACAATGTGAACCCCTCTCCATCTGCAGATGAGCCACTGTTTTCTTATTTCTTATTTCACTCTCCTCCTTCTCTCTGCTAAACCACAAAACAGAGAGCCACCATAAAAGAAAATCAGCTGCAGACACTCATGTCTATAAGAAGCAGAGACAATTGTAGTTTTTTCAGAGTGTGTTGAGAGAGAGGGGTTTCTGGGAGAATTTCACACTATTGACTTGATAGAAAAGGGAGAAGAGAGAAAGGAAAAGTATTGGCATTGCATAAAATTACAAACTGTGGATAGGATAGGCTCTATAATTGTTAATTACTTTTCCCTCTTCTTTTACAGTGTTATGTTACAGGCCAGCCCTCTCCTCTCTCCTGCCCCCCCTTCAGTTGCAGTGGCCCTACTCCTCCCAGTCCCAGAAGGAGAGAAGAATTAAGAGAAACAGTGAAAAGGTTGTGTGTCACCCCACACAGCCACGAGATCAGTGACCAGCCTCTGCCAAATCAGCGAGCTCGGCAAGGGGGGTATGGATGAGCCACGGCACAAGCGAGATCGGCGACCACGCCAAGCGTGGGCGCGGGACGGCGCATGTCGGAGTCTGAAGTCGGCTCCGGCTCCCCGATCAGCCGGGGGGTTACCCGTGACAGCGCGACCGGTCACCGGGAGTCCAGTCCAGTCCAGTCCAGCTGAGAACCTGATGGGGAAATTACCTAGTGGATCTAAGGCAGGGAGTGATGACATCACTCGCTAACTCTTTGGATGCGATATTGCATCGAGTGTTAACAAAGACACGGTACAGTCTAAGAGTTAACCCAGTTTTCAGTTTTGGGGCTAACTCCTATACTACTATTCCTATCGAGCCCTGGGTCGATCTGAAGTGGTGCTGAGTTCAAACGACATTATGCACTAGGTGCGACAGCTTCAAAAGCAAACAAGGTCTATCCGAAGCTCTGACCGTTTAATATCCACCATCTCTTCTTCTCCCTTTCAGTCTGTTCCAAATACTGGGACGAAGCACCACGAGTTCAAGGCTCGCAAAGACCTGTTTTTATCTATATCCTCACCATGTCCGACATGCCATCGACCTCTGGCCAGGAGGTCGGCCAACAATCAGATCAGGACAAAAAGAAATTGCCTCTCCACCGGAGTACCATTTCTTCAGATGGCGACAGCCTATCGTTTGATTCGGAGGATGACTCATCGCTATCAGAATCGGAGTTATCCGAGGTGGGCCGCATCTACTTTACACGCTGCAAAGTTGTATAACACGCGAATATTCAGGATGCAAATAGCGATGAGGAAGAAGAGGTGTGTATTTCACGTCGCCACCTTTTCCCCGCTGACTATCAAATGGTTTTAGGAAAATCTGACATTGCTGCTGTTGAAGAACGTACGCGTCTTCTTATATCGCTGATGTCCATCTTTCATTCAACATCTCCTACCAGCCGGACAACTATCCAGACGACGGCGACTCAGACGACGACTCGTACGAATTCTCAGATCGGGACACTGTTCCCTCTTCCAGCTCCGACGAGAGTTCCTATTCGTCCTTGTCCGACTCGGATAGCGAAGGAAGCAGTGACGAGTTTGGACGAGTTTGATGTGAGTGGCTGGCTACTCTCCTTGACTGACACGTCTGACGTGAAATAGGATGATTCCGACCACCACAAAGAAGTCCCCAGCTCAACGGAGTTGATGGTTAGAGTAAGTGATGCAGCTTTGGTATTGAGCTTCGACTCATCGCTGCGGTAGGCCCAGAGGGTATTGTCTCTCAACCGTAGCTGAGAGACTGTTTACGAAGTATCTTATACATCAGACTTCCATATAATACAGGAAAACAGCACAAAGTAGATGCCAACAAAAAAGGTATAACCTGTAGACACGTTAGCCATCAAGCGAATAAAAAATAAATGGTGTACATCCACCATCATCGCTGTTTGATGCCCATGGCCGAGAGACGTATCTCCCTCCTAGCTTTCAGAGCAACAGATTCGAGGTAAGCATTGATCCAAGGTAGAGTTAGCGCGGCTAGCAACACGACTGGGACCAAGAAGTAGAGAATGGGGACAACAGACGCCGGAAGGACACCAAAGTACAGCGGTTCGAGGACCACCGTGAAAGGTATAGGAGTAGACCTGTCGACAGATTTACCGGGAGTAAGAACACCGGTATCAACAAGGCGTATTCTGGCATATTTGAGACGCGTCGGCGGGTCGGAAGATTTGGCGCTGGTGATGGAGTCCCCGTCAAGGATGTCAATGAGAAAATCAGCTGGATTCTGTAGACATTCTGTTAGTATCTACAAGCTCAAAGATTCTGCAACGTACATATGCGGCCCAGGATATGCGTAGCGTAAATTTCGTGAATTCCTGCCAGGCATCGCTGGATAGGTCCAGTTTGAGCCAGAGTTCGTGTGAGCAGGGTGACGTTGGGCATACAGCCGATATGGGCGTTCCCAATGGTGCTGGTACAATCTCATATTGCCTTTGGTTGGCGCTGGCGCTGAGGGCTGCCCTGTGTACGACCAAGTGAGTGTATGCGTCGGACTCGCAGTGGTATCAGCTCACCATTCTCTGCTAGCAATTATCGGTGCCTGGACGGCTGAACTGGCGTAGAAGTTGGATATCTCAGTGTTGGCAAAGGCAACAATAGAGAGGTAGAGGAAGAGCGCGCATCGTAACATCGTGGTCGCTGACCAAGAGTGGTAAGCATCGCCCTCGCCACCGTCATTTCCCTTCTACCACGACCACCACCTGTGTGTAACAATTGTACTATGAGTGTACAATAAATCTGTCTCTGTATCCACTGTCTCGCATATCACCCTTTCCCTCAATAATTCTTCGTAGTATGGCTTCAGGTCCTCGGTGGAAGCAGGCCATCGAAAATGCCCTTGCGGCGAATGAGAATTCAACTGGTGCGTCCTCGCATTTTCCTTTCATGAAGAATTCTAATTTCCACCGAAATAGCAGTCACTCAGCTAGCATCCATCGACCCTACGTCCCCAATACCCTACGTCCGTTGCCTGATTTTCCGAGGTTTCATCATTCCCACCACGAACCCAGAACTCCCTATGTTGCTCTTCACAACCGACAGTCGCACGCCCAAGACCTCACAGATAATCTCGAATCCTCACGTCCAGCTCGCGTGGTGGATTGAGGGCACCAAAGAGCAGTACCGCGTCGCAGGTCTGGCGACTATTATCCCTGCCCCAACGAATGACTTGTACAAGCACTTCTTACACTCTACGCACGCTAACGGCACCATGGCGATGCTCTACAAGGAGAGCTTTGACTGGGAAGCGAAGCGACAGGAAGTCTACCGAAGCATGAGCCCGTACATGAAGGCATCGTGGTGCCGACCTACTCCTGGTACCCCTCTTGTAGGCGGGGAAGAAGAGGCGAAGAAATGGCCTGTCAAGCTGGAGGAGCCCAACGCCGATGGAGAATGGAGCAGCGAGGAGAACAAGCATCTTTGGGAGACAGCGTTGAGCCATTTCGCCTTGTTGGTTGTCGACCCAACGGACGTCGACTATGTTGAGCTGGGCCCTGTGCCAAATCGGAGAACGAAGTTTTGGAAGGACGATAAAGATTCTTGGAACGATGAAGCTCTTGTACCATGATTATATGTATTCCATCTTTTTTTTCGTTATCCCTTTAGACATCCCTGATAACTTGTACCTTTGCAGAGTGATGATTGTATAGGCGATACCGTCAACACGTTGAAACATAGATGCCATTGGTTGCCATGATCAACTTAACAGCATATCGTAAACTGTGCTGAAACTCTAAGAATCTCCTTCCCGAGCTAATACCTGTACCAGGTGGAGGTCCTTATACCCGTACATGCTGTACCTCTAACGCTGAACTGGCAGAGAAAATAGACAATCACCACTCGAACTTGGTAAGTAAGGTTTGTAGGATCTGTTCGTTCCGACTCTAGCTTACGAGCCCGATAAGCAGCCAAATTCAGGAACCCTGTAGCTCCATTGAGCATGGACATGATGGAGACGGCGTTCATTGAACTCGTCCTCGTCCGGAATATGTTGCTAAAAGACAACCAAACCAAATGCTATCTGATACTGAGAGAAACATTTTATGGCATTGATCTCTGAACTCGGGATGTCAAATTCGGAGGTACAGAGGATCGCATCGCACGAAGGGAAGAAACCAACCACCCATCAGCCTTTCGAGGGTCCCCTCAACACTGAACATTATCAATGAAGTACTGGTTGTCGTCGCCAACAATGTTACCAGCGGGGTTGTATTCACAAGTGACATACCTATCGAAATGAAGTCAGTTCTCCGCTCCACGTAAAAGCACTTTAACTAACCACCCTGGTGTATCATTAGTTCCATCGCAATCGACCCGCGCACATCCCACAGTGGTGGTACTCTTCCACACCAACTGCGTGAAATGGCCTGTATCGTCCGAGTAGCCTGGGTCACTACAGTTATAGGAATCCCCCTCGTCGCCCCAGGCTTCGACCGACGCCTCCGGAGAGTCGTACCCGGCGGCAAGGTTCTCGCCGTACGATCCGTCCTAATTCAAAACATCAAGACAAGCAGAAAGCCATAATACAGGAATCACGAACGCTATGCTCAAACACGCACGTCTGGGTATGGTTTAGGGCATACGAAGCGAGAGTATCGTCCCAAGTTAACGCGTCAGCACCATGTGCGCTCCTGTACGAGTTGGTGGTATTGAGAATAGCCGACTGGAAAGCATCATCGTCTGTCCAGCTAGAGTCCTAGTCTGTATGATCAGCACCACCGACAACATTCTTGAAAGGGAGGGAGAAAGTACATCACGACGACCTTGGGAGCCGATATGCTAAAATATGTTTGTCAGCCACGAACGAACATACGACCAGCGTAGTCAAAGTCGCTTACACCGCGGACAGTCATAGCGCAGACCAGGAGGAAAACAGAGAGGTGGGCAAATGTCATGTTGAGTAGGCGAGTTCCACAAGGGCAGTTTCCTCCTTTTATACCTTCGTATAATTTGCCAAACGGTGATTTTTCCCGTATGGAAACATTCCATGAGTCCCGTTACCAGATGCTCAGCCCAGCCCATAGTTCAGGCGCGGCTTCGGATAAACACTTAACAAGGCCAGTTCTCTTACGAACGGGTAGTAAGAAATTGGTCACCCTTTGGTGTCAAGGGGTAATGGCAACGTTCGTATCCATGCCAAGCTGTAAGAGACGAGAGCTCCAGCGAGCTGTACTTTCGAAGAAATGAGTTCTTGCGAAGTCCACCAGCGGCGCCGTTCATGTTGGTATACACCAGGTAGAGGCTCATTACCCCCCTCGAACCTTGCAGAAGCTTCCTACGAAGGCTCACAACGCCATGAATATCGGTCTTGATGAAATTCAGTTAGAGTTTTGCCGCGCCGTTACGCCAAGCCCTGTAGTCGAGCCCACGACGACGGCTAAATCTCGGAAATATCCAACTAATTGACGGAATAAGGCTTGAAGAGGGGAGGACGAAGACGCTGAAATTTCGGTGGTATACGATGATAAAATTACGTGACAAATGAAGCTTAGATATTATCACAGCAAGACATTGAAAGAAGGACCAAGTCGCCTTCCTCCCTTCTCTTAACACTGAACATTGTCAATGAAGTACTGGTTGTTGTCACCAATAATATTGCCGGCGGGGCTGTATTCGCAAGTGAGGTACCTATCAAACAAGAGCAGTAAGCTTCCGATATCACAGGTGACATAAAAAAAAACTAACCATCCCGGCGTCCCATTAGAGCCGTTACAATCAACCCTCCCACACCCAACTTTGGTCGTACTCTTCCATACCAACTGCGTGAAGTGACCTGTTGCGCTGGAGAATCCAGGGTTGCTGCAGCTATACTCTGCACCTTCGTCGCCCCACGCAGCAACTGAAGCCGACGCAGAGGCGTATCCTGCAGCGAGGTTCTCCCCATACAGTCCGCCCTAGAGGTGAGCTCGTTACGAAATTCGACAAACACGAAAGGAAACAACTCACGCTATGCTCAAACACACAAGACTGGGTATGTTGTAACGCGTATGAAGCGAGGGTATCGTCCCAGGTCAACGCAGACGCGCCATGGGCGCTTCGGTATGAGTTTGTGGTATCGAGGATAGCCGAGCGGAAGGTGGCATCGTCTGTCCAGCTGGAGTCCTGAATGAAAATTTGATCAGCGAATAGGGACCATATGGCGAGGAAGCGAGAGTACATCGCGAGCAACAATAGTGCTGTCCTGTTAAAAAACCAATATTAAGCTCAGTCATACAGTATAGAAGCAATGGCATACGGCAGGGAAGGCGAGCGCCGCCACTGCACAAGCGTAAAGGAAAGTAGAGAGACGAATGAATGACATATTAGATGTAACAGAAGAGGTGCGCTCAAGTTGGAGCTCTAACAGAGACTTCTGTCCCCCTCTTATACTCTCAACGCAAAATCACCTGAAGGATACATTTATCAAAAGATGATAGACATCTTACCCATATGATGTTCTCCAAGCATCGTTCATGAGGAAAGGGCACTGGAACCCTCTCGCAGAGCTTAGGGGCGGCTTCGGATCAACATCTCAAATGCTATCCATGACAACGACTCCAAGTTCTATACAATTGGCGGGAAATTCTCCGGGGTCGGGAAGGTGTACTCATGGGTGGCGCGTTTGTATCCGAGCCAAGTTATGAAGGACGGCACTTGCCAATATCTGAGGCACTGTCTAAGGAAAAAATCTCGTATTTGAAGTTCAGACACGAGATTTTTTTTACTCTCAGATAAGTCTAGTGTCGTTCCTTGGTATCCAACCTACGGTTTCACGGGTCAGTACGGGGTAATCATAAGAAGATGAGACAAATACTACCTCCACCTAGTTCCTCGGCTGGTCCACACTAAGGAATCCCGACACTAGCGGTATCGTAGTCTACTCTTCGACTGGACGTTAGATGTCGTGATACCCTGATGGGAATCACCATCCGCGCTACTGCCTCATCTCAATAGGCGGATAGCATTTGATGCAGCGACACAGTTCGGAGGCATCTAGCCAAAGATGGAACCTAGTTTTTGTGTGATAAAGCGGACAATATTAGATGATATTATTTGCTTTTGCCAAGTAAGTGTTTGGCACCCAGTACTGTACCGGTGGAAGGGCATTTCCAGCCGCATCGGAGTTCACACCGGCAGATAATAATAAGCTTCTGCCGAGAGATGCCGCGAACCACTTCATACTCCGCTCAACTACCTGATCCCGCTTGATCTCGCTAGGCCGCCTTCTAGGCAAATTTCGTGAGTCCCCTGACAGACCGCATCTGAAGCCGGTATTATCGAGTCTAGAACCTGAACAACAGCCATTCTGAAACTGATAGCCCTGTCTGTATAGAGTACAGATTAGGTACGGCATAGGCGTTCAAGTTTGCGGGTACCGGCCTCTGTCGGAAGAAACAATCTTTACCTTTCCACTAAATAGCTCATGCAAACTGTCGTCTTTCTAAGGAACTTCCATGACAGCCCCCAGTGCAAAGAGTTGAGCATTCAATAATCTTGTAGATGACGACCGTAGTGTTCGGAGATCACAACAGCCATATGAAGTCGCTTCTGCTTTCCTAGATCCGCAGTTAACGGGCACTGTAAAGAATCACAGAGTGAGCCACCTTCTGTCCCTTTACTCTTGATGTCATGAGAGACTGACCTCATTTGGGTACCATCGCCATCCCATTGCTATCTTTCCGGTCTCAGATTGAGTATTGATTAATTTACAGTAGCTTGGTGCACGATGCGGAACAGATACACGCAGCTCAGAACTTGTGAACACCCCCGTTTCGGTTACGGACCTTGGATCTGAGAGCATGGTGCTCGGCTTGCTAGAATGATGTTCGACACCTGGCATACAAAATAATAATTGTCTAGGATTCCGTCCAGATATGATAGCACGTAGTATAAGACACGCGGTATTTCTCCACCCATACCTGGCTAGTCGGAGGGGGTCCCGAAATGCTAAACTTCGTCCCTCTCCTTGCTGTTACCGTCATACTCAGCAGCCTTTTATCTGCCACCTGGTTGTTTTTTCTATTGAACTAGTCGCAGTGCGCCATTTTCTACTGGACCTAAATGGCTTCCTTTAGCGGGGAAAATTCTCGACATGCCCTCAGAGAAGGAATGGCTCACTTTTGCTAAATGGGGCGAAATCTACGGTATAACATTGACCGCGATTTCAATGGCTTTGAGCGCGCTTACGCATTGTTTCTTAAGGCGAATTACTATCTGTTTCGTCCTTGACCGTCGTATAGTTGTCGTCAACTCGATTCAGATGGCTATCGACATGTTCGACAATAAAAGCTCCATTTACTCAGGCAGACCAATCATGGAGATGGCCGGCGAGCTCATGGGCCTAAGAGACTCCCTCGCTTGTCTCTCTTATGGCACCCGCTTCCGCAACCAACGTCGACTCGCGCACCACAATTTAGTAATTCTGCGATGATGACTAAATTACCCTCAATTGTTGAATACGAGACGCGCCGTCTTTTGAGGACACCCTCCGCTAATCTAATCTAATCCTGAACATCTCTGAATATATCCGGATGCAAGTCACTGGGTGTTTTCCCTAGTACACCCTTCCGCACCGATGCTTGGGCTACACACTGACACAGTCGCACCATGGCAGAATCTTGGCAGGTAACTCGACATTCATCTTATGTGCGATGATGTTCTCAGTTTTCAATATCTCAAAGCACTCTGAAAAGGGCGTTGTTCTCGAACCGGACGCAGACATACCGCAGGAATTATAAGGTGAGAAAGTTTTTCAGATGACTCTGCTCAATGCATGATCTGTCTTCTTCAGTCACCCGACACCATTCAAGTGTACGATTAAAGCGGGGAGCGAGAGGGCGCTGGGTTTGATCAGTGGGGAGAGATTTTTGTGAGCAGCCGTTAGGACAAAGACGGTACCCTGGAGCTTAGCTTTGTGTTCGATTTGATTCCCTATGACGTGGCCGTCGTTATCCTCTGCTACGAGAATGGACCAAATTTGTTGTCAATGGTATCAAAGGCAACTAGCATACTTCTCGACAGTTCAAGCTTCAAGCTTCAAGAATGATACGACTCAGAGCCGACACTCCATAATGCAGCATTTCTTTATGCCATCGCCTACCTTACTCCAAAACCAAGTCTGCATCCCAGCTGTTTCCCGGGTCTACCTCCCTCAGAAGCGATAAGTGTAAGATACTGTTCCTATATGCCTTTACACGCACAAACGTTTACTTGAACTATACGCTAACCGGATATCAAATTCTTCGCAAGGAGCTCTTGTTCAAAGTGCACAATCTCCTCATACCATTCATAAAATACGCATGCGCCCTTCAGCGTGGGTGTCCGCGACGTAGCCCTATCACATCAAGACTGAAAAATCTAGAGGAATAGGGACAGCTCACTCTCATTCTGAATATCAAACGATAAATGTTCTAGCGAAGGAACCAAAGCAGGCTTTTCACTCTGCATGACAAGCTTCGGGAGCACGGATCTGGGGTGCTCTTCGCTGACGTCCGACTTAGGCGCTTCAGTCTGTGGAAGTTCTTAAGGATATGCGTTAAAAAGCTTTTGTGGGCATCACGACCATGCAAGTTCAGTTCCTCCAACTGAGGATGAAACAGCGTCTCCGCAACTACGCTGACCTCGGAGCGAAGAGCGACTAAACTTTGAAGCTGAAGGAACGTCCAACACCTCATGACATCGTTACCGACCATATCATCAATGCCGAGGCGCAAAAGGTTGGCTTGAATGCTGGTGCTGACGCCACCACCTTTCTAGACAGCACAATTTCTCCAACGACGCACAGTGAGGAGGATCTCGTTGATAATCTCGGGTGGCAATCAGCGCATGGGGAATGTAAGGCAACGAAGACAACCTATAAAGTTGGAGACCCCTCGGAGTTCTAGAGAATCTTCGGCCGTATATTCGTAAGCGGCCTAGGAGTCGGGAGGACTGTGATTTATATAAACTCGCGGCTGGAGCCTGAGCATGTGGTTCATCTGCTTTTTCCAAAACATCATCCTTATGTCTTGTAGCCATAGGAGGAATGAGAGAGGGTCGGTGACAGATCACATGATGATGATGGGGAAAGTCAAGTAAGGTCAGCAGATTCAATGCCTGCTAGGCTAGAGCTACATGGAATTTGGTACTCGTGGTACAGAAGGCCCCAACAAAAGGGCACATGTTCTTTGTCCTGACCACGGTAGACAGCACCAATGACAATTGCCACTAGTTAATGAACATAAGCTTGAAACGGCAGTTGTGACAAAAAAAAAACAGGGACCATGCCTGGTTATAATTATATGCATCACTGTTCCGACCTGAACGCAGAACAATTGCTCATTTCACAAATCATCATTCCATACCCAAACAAACTTAATGCAAAGGCCAAATACCGCTTTTTGCTTCTCTGGAGGTCGATGAGAAGTATCCACAGTGGAACGTATAATATTTAGGCGCTGGGACCAGCCTGTGGTTTTCCTCGATGTCCAGTGACAGGTCCGTCTCTACTGTAGGGCGGCTAACGCAGCTGTATAAGGACATGCGGAAGTATGCATATCGCACTGTTTATACCTTGAGTGTATGAGTCATGGACTATTGGAAGTCGAAGAGCTGTTGCCAAACCTGGCGTGGCCTAGAATGACAAGATGAAAAAAATGACAGTGGGAAAACAAAGCATATCATTCACTTGCCCATCGTAATCGGGGAATCATAAAATGCGTATGTCTTGAGGAGATGTAGTCGAAGCAGAGAAATGTATTACCATTCATTCATGGGCATGCCCTGAAAGCACGGCGAAAGTAGTAATATTCGCACTATTCCTGTAACTTGTTCCTCCCAGTGACTGAAATTTTAAATTTAGCCGGAATGTAGGTATCCTCAGCAGCAGAGCCATTTATATTTTTAAGTCAATAATGTGGTCCTGCAAAATGAACTGAAGGAAGGACAATGTGGCATCGTTAGTTGGTGACTCCGAGTGAATTCCAAGTTGGGCCGGATATTAGCCATCACAGTGCTCAGGTACCATTCACCCCGTGCCTACTTCATCATTTCAAAGCGGATCCAACGTCGATCGTAATCATAATTTTAGACTCTGAATCATTGAATGACTTGTCGTCGTACGGATTGGCTGTATGTTAGGCCACGAGAATGTGGCGTTTTTGCCTCTAATTATGTACCCACATACAGTGAAATGCTGAACTTCTTTTCCGATAGATTGGTAAGCAAATTCTGTAGAGCTTGCAGTCTCTGCGCACTTAATAGCTCTGCACATGGTCAGGACTCACAGGCACTAGGCACGCCATAATTATCAAAATAACTGATTGTCCAGTCCAAGTCGGTGCAACCTGTCCTGCTGACAATATCCACCACCCTCATCACGTCCCTTGTCAAGATCTTGACATTTTACTACAGTCTGTCAAGGAAGATCAAGATGGATTGTTGTAGGATAAGCAGCACACAAACATCAAAGGTCCGAAGATACCGCCACGATACAACATACCTGCACGCTCCTTTGAGCCCGAGGGTAAGCCCGACCTGTATTTAACTGGACCTTGGTTGAGTATTCAAGCATCGTTCTTTGACCTGTTCATTAGTATGATGTTCAAGCAAGCTCTCGCATTACTTCCTCTCTATTTTATCTTGCCAGTGTGCAATGCTGCACCTGGACCCAAAGTCGCAGAGACAGTTGCTCGAGACACTGCAGCGACATGCACTCCTCCTGCTTACGTCTATTGTTGCAGCGAACTGGATTGGGTATGTTCTATAAACATTTCAGTTCTCAATCGTGAAATTGACTGAATGCTATGATTTGGTTATAGGTACTTTTCGGTTACGTCGGGACTGGCTGCGAGCCCTTCGGCAATTGTGTAAACCCAGTCTGCTGCACTGGAGAGTTCCAGTCTGTAGGTTTTTTCCACGTCTGTTCCTCCCGGCACGTGGTTAACACTGCGATATATATATAGTATGATGCCATGGTTGGAGGCTGCCAGCTTTTGTGACATGGGAATGACGGGACAGAACACTATGGGCACGTACCAGGAAGTTAATTAATGTGCTTGGTGTCCATACTGTCAAGAGAATTCGAAACCTAAGATCGTATCGTGTTCAATGAGCGTATCGCTTCAGAAAGACAATACTCCCATAATTCCTCCCATACACACTAATCAGTTCTTCTCTTGCACTTGGTCAAGGAACGTACAAACCCATGTCGACCGTTTTGGCCCTGTCTGCGGCGTTTGCGCCAGGTCTATCTCTGGGAAAAGCTGTCCGACGTCCGTTTCTCTGCCATCTCTTTGTAAATATTAGATATTCTGACACCCCACGAGCTCCAGAGATGTTAGATGGGGTAGTTTTATCAGAACACTGTCTCCAATCGGATCGATCGAAGCGATCCTTGGGAAAACAAGAAGCAGTGTAGTTGACTCCAAGTTCGCGTACATGTTAGTGATTACGATCTTAGTTGGACTTACCTATCTCTAGGGTTGATTGTTCAGAAACCGACTTGACCAAGAACGTCCAACCTCTCAAAAATAAGTGATCGCCCGCTCAGTTCGACCCTTCAGTCTCCTGATGACACAACTGCAGTGCTGCAGGATCAATACAATGGCAACAAACGCCGCTACAACCCAACACTGGAGGATGCCCTATATTGAAGCGGGTTCTAACACGGTAACCCAGCATCATACTTTGACCTGCCACTAAAGCAAGCGGTCGTCTTACTTCCCCTCTGCGTGCAGAGGTCCATTGCTGCGCCGAACTTGATTTCGTACGTGCATAAACCATCCACAACCCGGTTATAGGTGTTTAACAGCTTGGTCAGGACTGGCTGCTAGCTATTCGGTGTTCCCACAACCCCAGTCTGCTGCAAGGGAGAGTTTGAACCTGTAAGTTTTTTTCACATTCGTTCCTCCTACCGCTCAACATTGCGATATTTGTAGGTCGGATTCTCGGTTGGCGGCTGCGAACTTCTGTAAACGTATTGTTGTCTGTGAAATCCCGAAGTCAAGATCGCATTGGCATGTTATTACGTTAATGAAAAGGAAAAACCCAAATCATCTCTCCTCTTATGTCACCTATTTATTCAATTGCCGCCCTTCTCATGCGCCTAGCCCAAGGAAGCGCAAATCCTGCGTCTACCTCTTTGTCTTGTCTATCAGATTGGCACGAGGGACATCCCTGCCCAAAGACACTCGATGAAGAGGTGTGCAGGTCGTCCGCATCTCTACCATGTCCATCACCATCCTCTCGTCAATCTCCTGACACCACACGAGCTCAAGCGACATTAACTGTGGTAGCTTTACTTGACGCGTCTCCGAGAGGTACCGGATAATCGCTTCCATCGACGCACGGGACGTCTTAGGCCAGTGTATAACGAGCTCGTGAAGCCCTGGAATTTTCTCGAGCACAAGTATCAAATCCTTCGCTTCAATAGGAAGGTACAATATATGAAGCCACCGCAATGAATCTGCACAGGACTGGAGAAGATGCTCTAGGTGTGCAAATTTCAAAAAGCATCGGGTAGAAGCACCTTTCTCGTGAACTAAAGATAGCGATGATAAATTCGGTAGCAATAGAGGTTTGATGATGGCTTGGAGGTTATTGTAGGAGTAATCATGCATGAGAAGGGTCAACGAAGTGAGGTGGGATAGCACTTCGAGGGGACGGTCGACGGAGTAGCGGCACGTAAAGCATCCGACCGTGACGTGGGTCAATTCAGGCATAGAAGCGATGGTCGAAACAAAGTGTCCAATATCGCTGAGGACCATGTCTGCCCTGAACGTGCGGATCTTGTTCGGAGGCATGGGCGCTCCGTCATTATTGGACAAGAGATGCCCTCTGAAAGAGAGCGTTCGAAGATTGGGAGCGAGGAGGATAACCGATGTCATGGCATCGATGCCATTCGATCCCCCGAAATATGTGACATCGAGTAATTCCAGTCCAGGGAACGTGATGACTTTGATGAGCTCTCTGAGGAAATAGAAAGATCGAGAATGCATGAAAGAGATGTGAACCTCTCTCCAGCGTCGTGCCTCCGCAAAAAGAGCAGATAAGACTGCTTGCGACGGCCAGGTATCCAAATCGGCATCATTGTGCCTACTATCTCGGAATACGACTTGAAGAGGTCTGCCTTCGGAGCGGTGGAGGTAAAGAGGGATCCAAGCCCCGTAAATATCACGGGATGACTTGGAAAATGGGCATTGTAAATCTAGGGTGATCGTGGACCACAATGAATAGGTACCGAGGGCGAGACGACGCCAGTAGGAGCATACGAGCGCGATTCGCAATGAAGATGTCGGGTCCTCGACCCTTATCGCTTCCTTGAAAACGGCACAAAGCAATTCTGGCGGGAGACGACGAATAGGCGCTAAGAGAGACTTCTTTTGCTTGATGTACTCCTCAACTTCGGCACGATCACGCCTCAGCCGCTCGATCGTGTCTAAATGATGCTTGATCTCTCGATCATATCGAATGAGGTCGAACTCTGCACGCATGATGAACTGGGGGAAGAGAGGTGCTTCAGCGGATAACAACGCGTCTCCGGATCGTAGCAGCTCGAGATCCTGGTCTAGCGACTTTGTATAGGACGCATCGACGTCGAGACCGGCCCCGCAATTGAAGCAGATAAGAATAGGACGGTTCATCAGATCAGAGCTGGGGTATGATTCCATCAGCATCCTGACTATCCGACAGCTGACTGTAGTTACATACCCGGATTTCGCAATAAAGAGCCTGAAGTGTCTATCATATGAAAAAGGCTCAATACAGGTAGAGAATTTCTTACCTGAGATTAACACGAACAAGTTAGTCTCCTGATGCGAGATAATAACAAATCTACTGTTAATGATCTACAGAGCGTCTGATCAGGCGAGTAATATAGGTCAAAGGAGAGCATACTCACCGTTCCAAAGGCTGGCAACGAAGAAAGCCTGTAGTGATGATGGTTCGAAGTAGTGGTGACGGTGAGAACGGAATATAGGAAAGTGAGAACGGTTAATCATGAGAAAATGAAGAAAAATGGTTGGAATGATCCCGTTCGGCCCAGAAAGCTCCGGTGGTGCGAGCCTGGACTCTCCTGTCTCTCGACATGTGATATCATATCACTATCCGTCTGACTCTGGGGAAAGGTATCGTATTACTTGGGCGGAACCGTGGTTGGTCTAGACACACCGTCTGTACATCGAGGCACGGTCATCAAGTAATTTTGAAGTTAAGCGAACTGGGGGCCTTTGGACTCACCCAAGAGCGAATATATGCGCCATTTACCAGGTGTAGTGCTTGAATGCAACGAGGATGGTCCCACTTCCGACCTCATCCAATTCAGCTTTCCGTTGTGGCAATGGTGCTTTTATTGTCGAATACACGACTTCTGTGATGGAGACGGAAGGGCAGATAGATGCAAATTTAAGGTATGACTCTGGGCGAGAAACTGAGCTTCAGCGTCGTGAAACAAGAGGTGCATGGTGGTGGTGGTGGTGGTGGTGGTGGTGGTAGGAGTACAAGTCGGGATGTTTGGCTGTCGCAACGGGATTAACCCTGAAAGAAGAGTTAACCCTTCCTCGACCCTCTTCACTATTGTCCTGGTTAAAATACTCTGAACGAACGAGGAAACGGCAGGTTCATCCACCTCAACGAAAGCCCTCTCTTGTCAATCGCTCTCACGCTCAGTCTGACTTATGCTGCCGAAATGTCGCAGAATGCACCCGGTCACCACAACGTCGCATCAGCTTCGAGCATCACCGGATTGTAGCTTACAAAGTTACTGGCTCTCACGGACATGTGGCTATGGTACTACCAGGGTCATGTCCAGCGTAGCCTCTAAAGTTTCGGTTGCGAGTCCCACCTGTAACAGGAATAATAGTAAGTATCTCTTTCGCTGTCGAACCGTAGAAGATTCATAAACTTCATTTATGCAGATGCGTTCGTTGCAAGGTCAAAAGAGTTGAAGTGATGAAGTCGCGTCGCATTGCTGTTCAACAAATGTCTTACCTTTGTTCATGTTCCCAATACGCGTTGGTTATCAATCTACGTCTTTTCATCTTACAAGCCTTGTTGTCGGATCAAAGAAAATAGCGCCTCACAACCTTTTGACGAAAGCCTTCGACTTGAGACTATTTCTCCACTATCCACTGTCTTTACGGTTATGGGGTTCTTACCTTTACTAAAACAGCTGCTCATGGCCCTTGAGGCCTGAGGGTCGGAACACTAAAACCCACGATAGGCTTGTTCAACTCGCTGCCGCATTGGCTCGTCCTAATGCGGTCTGCTCACAAACTTTAATCATTATAGATTCCTGACTAGAAAGTGGTACAGGTGCAACGCGGCTCGCGCGCTATACGGTGTGCATGGGAAAAGAAGAACTAAAACTTCACGCAGTTTGATCGTGCCTTGGCCTCGATAGTTGCGTCACCTGGTCGGAAATTGCGTGAGAAGAGTCTCTTTTATTACGAACGCAGTAAACTCGCCCCTCACTGATTCTTCCTCAGGTACTACATGAATCAGGATACTGCGAGAAATATACGACAATCTCACATCAAATGAAACATGCGAGGAAACGGCAACAACTATGCACCAAATAAATCTGGACCTCGATCAGGTTGCTCGTCAGCATCGACGTTATAAAATTCGATACCACAAAGTTGAAGCCTGTCGGCCAGTTTCTTGAAGATAGGTCCAATCATTTTGCAGGGTCCACCATCATATCGACGACTGCGGGTTTTGTCAATCTGCCGTGACGATTAGGCATCGATGGTGGAGATAAGATCAGATTATCACCAACATCTCCAATGACGCCCCAAGCAATAGACTCCTCGCTGACTTCAGTTTGTACTCACCTTCCCGCGATCAACGCCATTTGAATAATCCTTTATAAGCCATCATGCCTCGATGTCGAATTCGGGATGGGCTTGTTGGTTGCCCACGATTATTATGAAGTCCCTACGAAGGTTACGTCTCGATTTGGTAAGACAACGCGACCCCGACGTGTCTTTTTTTTCTTTTTGCTAATTCCGAATCCCAACTTATCCGAGTAGGGCTTCGCGGCAAAACTCCTATGCTCATTCACGGAGACTCACTCGTTCCTATCGTGATGGCGACGACGTTACCCGTGTACTGTTCATGTGTCACCAGGACCGCCTCTGAGCGTCGACGTCCCTTCTCTAACACTATGCGAACAGCCTATGACTATTGCGCTTTGATGGAATCACGCTCTACAAAGGTTCTCTTTCATCAACTGTGAAAATAAAGAGCTTCTCGAACCTACCGCTCGCTTCGTGCATGACATATTTGCAAGAAGCCAGGGTGATTAACAGCCAGTTCTCATAGAAAATAGTCTGGCTATATTATTTTCTGCACTACTTATTTCTTCATTAAGTCGTTCCGATGTTTTCTCCATATTTCTCGTGTCCCCTTCGCCGAGGCTACTTATGATGGGGCTTGACCTGGGTGGTAATAAAGCTGGCTTCCTTTCTTTCTTCAAATGTTTTACAATACAACTGAAACATCCAGCCAAGGGAACACAGGCTGAATCACGTTGCACTGAAACGGCTGTCAGCACCCACTCGATTAATTTGATAAGAGAGAAACAATCAAGTGTGTTTCGGGGTAATATGCTCACAGCTTTCCTTCTCAACACTGCTCCGGTCCTAATACCATACACCGGACTTAAGCCGTAGAAGCTGATTCCGAAACTGATAACTGTACGTTGTGATCCTCTCGCACGTTAACGGCCAGTATCTGTTCTGTTGCACTAATGTCGTTAATGCTTTCTTGAAAGATAGTCGGACAAGACTCTTTGCACAAATGGTAACATGAAGCATATGAACAGCGTGTAGAACTGGGCCATGCATTAAAAGGTCTATCATTGTAAGTGTTATAAAGGGTCTGTACCTGTATTACATTACTGTATACTTTTTCGACTGATTAGGTTGATCTAAAATCGTACAATGCCCCTCCTACAGAGGGTCGGAAAAGCGACCTCGACCTTCGACTTTACCGCCAAGCGATCAAAAGTGGCACTGTTCTGATATTGTATAGCTTCGAGGTGTATGGTGTGTAGGCGGGCAAACATCTGGTCCGCTAGAAGAAAATCGAGAGTGTTCCACCAAGACGCCTCCTCCGAGCCGGATGCCAAAGGAAACCGCATTGGGAACGAAAATGTTACAGTCTCGATGGAATTGCCAGTCTGAACGTTACGAAAGGCGTATCCCCACCACAACACGATTTGATGCACCTTGACCCAATGATCATGCCAAGCACTGATTGTAAGGTGGATCTGACGAAATCGCCCAATGTCCGGGACAGAGATAGCACCGTAATTTCTACTAACTGGAAGTAGACTGTAAGGACAACGTAGCATGCTGAAATTAGATACATAAGAATAACTCACGGGAAAAATGGGCGCCTTCCCAATGACACTGAAACGTATCAATACTAGGAAACCCTCGGTCGATGGAGCGGCAATACGCTTCAAGCTCATCCCAGTGTTCGATGACGACCCGGAAAGTCGCTAGGTGAGGCAGGTCGACGATATAAGTTTTGGGATCCCATTTATTAGCCATTGAGTAGTTGAGAGAGAGGGAAAGAAATGAGATCGATGGTAAGGGGATACCCGGTGGAACAGGACCTTCAACCACACCGGATTCCTCCCAGTCGCGGATGAACAACTTCTTGACAGACGCCCCCTCAAACAAGCACAATGCCGTCCGAGGATGGAGCAGCGAGCCGATAGAGGCAAAAATGACCTCGGTGAGGTTTGGAGCATGAACTGCGGTGCGAAGCATATTCTCCATGTCGTGACTGGGTTCCCATGGTGAGAAATTGAAGTCGATGTAGAGGGTGGTCAGGTTCACAAGCGCTGGAAAGAGCGCTGTGAGGCTGTGTATGGAATACAGCATAAAAGGGTAGTCTGTCTGTCCCAGGGATGTCTCTTCGCTGATTGACAAGTACTGTAAACACCCGGCGATGTGAGGCGCTGAAGTCAGGGATTGGCAAAACGTCGGGACAATGTTGCTAGAGGGCTGGAGATCGATGCTGATGTGACGGAATATATGGCGTTGGCTTGATTGTGTCCAGGCGCGGCATACTGTGGAACATGCGCGAAGCGATTGAGTGTCGTCGTAGAGGTAGTCGATTACTTGGTCTACTAGTTCTTGGGGAAGCATCGACAGAGAAGGCGCGGGCGGGCGACGCAGTGCGCGACTGATTCGGGACGCTAGGACAGAGATGTTAAGCATTTGGTTTGTCTGATGGATATCAGCTTACTATAGCAAGAAGGAATTGTCGTAGATATTGAGTCAAGGTTCTGGGTGAATGGCAGTTACTTTGTTGGTGAAACTTATTAAAGAGGATCGCGGCTGTGGTACAAATCTAAAAGAAAGATGGCGTTGCCGTTGAAATCAATGATGGCGCGAAGATGGGACCGCCTGATTATATCAATACAATGATTGAAAATCTTCGCATACAGGGGCTAGAATTGGCACAGCCATCGCACTGAAAAAGGTTACCTCAGAACAATGTAACCAAAGAAACCCACCAATCCGAGGTCATCGTCCAGGCGTTGCGAAGACGAAAATAATGGCAAGAGAGTGGCGGCATCAAGTCTATTCCACCGCAAGAAGTGATATTCCAGAAGGTATTGATGATCATGTCATTACGCTCGAGGCATTTTACGAAAGCGTCCTTCGGGTCCGCTCGCTGCTTTTTGACTAGTGTAGTGAACATGACAACGAAAGGCGGAGAAGAGCAAGAAGCCGACCAGAAGGGCGTGATAAACGCGAGGACTTGGACAGACCAATCACTAAGGAGTATGGAAAGAAAAAGGCGTTCTGTCACCGTAGAGACGACCGCGACTGCGACCCCAATGACATTCTCGTAGATCGTATCAAAAAAACCGGATAAACCGGTCCCTTATCTCGACAACGTCTGCGCGTTCTTTACCCATTAGTGTTTCAAAATTTATTACCCTGGATATACGCTGCGCAGAATTAGCCTAGCTTGTATTTTTTTGATCTCACCTAGGTTCAGATTAATTTTGCACGAGTGTAATCTGTGCGTGAGTAGTAAAATCCAGCTTCCGGAGATGCGGGCCATCATGGGGGAAAATTGTTACTGTGCACGCGTTTCCGAAGTAGTGGCTATGATCAGGCAAACATAGACCGATTTTCTTCTACAACGTTATTCCAGAAAATCTTTGTTTGTTACATGTAAAAAGATGCTGGCGATGGTACTCACTTCAAATCAATGCTCGCGACCTGCGACTCGCGGTGCACTGAAATGATAAAAATATGAGGAAAAATGGTTTGATGAGCGGCAATGCCAATATTTATATTAAACCGAAAGACAGTCGCCCATGTAGTCGACCTGTCCCGTTACTGTATTTGCTGAAGACGTAGCTGGGTGGTAGTGGAACAAACTCAGAGCTAACTTTGAAACTGAACTCGCTTTGGGACTGTGGGAACGTTTTACCTTTTCTGCATGTTTTGCGGACTAACTGTCATTTTCTACCAGCTTCATTCCTCGCACCGTACGCGTCGAATCGCTTTCAGAAGGATACAATGTCAACAGAATTTTGGCTGCCATCAAACCTGACCCAGCAGAATCGATAACAGGATCATAGTCCAGTTCTTCAACGAGGACATGGCCAAGCATTGCGTCGCGTCGGGAGCCTTGATGAAGATGGATGGTGTTCTCTCACCCCCACTGTCTGCCGTTGATGTCGCCGCGCTCGGAAGACTGGGAATTTTTCGGTCACTGGCATTGACGGATATACCTAAGGAAGTCCAGGAAGAAAACGTTCCTGATATTCTTTTTCGGCATTGTGTGCTACAGTCCTGAATATTTGACCTATCAAACAGAACGGCAACGGCTCGTTATTTGGATATGCACCAGGCGTTCAAGGCGCGCTTTGCTATCTCTATTGATGCTTTGTTGGTTCTGATTTTTTCTTCTGTTACAGGCTTGGGTGGACCTGAGAAATGCTGGCATTAACGTGTCTTTCCTAACTAACCCTGACGGATACATCTTCCCTCAGTGGTTTGCGGCGGAGGCAGCTTACCAGGGGAAGGTTAAATATCGCGTCAAAATTTCCGGCATCAGAGATCCTAGATTCATCCTGTATCTACACTCATGACTAGCAGAATTCGAGAAGAACCGAAGTCCAGTACTATCTGTTTCGTTATCGAAGGGACGAGGTGTATGTCATCTCTCTTTCGTTGCCAATGCGGGTCCCTTACTTTCTCATTGGTCTAGACCGTGATGTTGCAGTTAGCGTCGTCTGAATTAGCACAGAGATTCTCCGACATGTGCCCTTGAGTTGGGCGTCAAGGCGTAAGTGGAGCCGCCTCTTCCATCGGTAATTCATCGGGGTCTTGTCATGGCTATAGCATTGGGCACGTGTCGAATGGTTACGCTCAATTTGGCCGCGGAAAAGAACGATTATCTCCACTTCTTCAAGCGAATTGGCACTATTAGTCCCGTGTCGAAGTGTGCTCTTTCCCTTACTTTTTCTGCAGGCACATACTGACGGCACTTAAGAGATCAATTTGCTTCACCTGTTCGTGAATTATGTATCTCGTATAAAATATATCTTCTCATCATGGCCGGTCTCGATATCACAGGGAGCAAACGTCTGAGGCTGCCTGATTTCGATGGAGCCAGTGTCAAATTTTGGGGCGCCCGTCTGAATCCGATACTAATATCTCCTGATTTATGCCAGTGATACTTCAGAGGGGTTTTCTGCATACGGACCATGTATCTAATCGAAGGGTTCTGTCTTTGTAAGTGACTCGCTTATTTCCCTTTGGTACATCAGATCTCATTTGAACCGTACCGGTCAAGTATGACGGTAGTGCTCCTGTAAGATTAGCTACGTCCTACGAGATCGTCATGTCGATATCTAGGGATATCAATGATAGCTGCATCTAAGCTACGAAGCGGCTACCTTTAGAGGAACTGCAAGGCAAAACACCGTCCTTTCATACTTCGACTTTGTCATTCCTCTTTCCACCACTTCATTGACACTTTCAAGGATGAATGTCGCAAATATCATGCAAATAACATACGAATACGAGATCCAAGAGGGAAACGATCCTTTCGTCCAGCTCGCGGATCAAGCGGCACACGACTTTACTCTATCCACCACTCCAGGTACCTTTTCAGTCAACCTTATTCCAATATGTGAGCCAAGTAACTCGTTGCCTTCACAGCTAACCACGGCTTCCTTTCAGTGCGACACATTCAGATTGGTTCCCTGGAGCAGGACTCAAGCAGACGGCTAAGGAATGGCGGTCGACGTTACATGAGATGGTGAAAAAGCCGTACAACTACGTCAAACAGCGAATCGTTAGCCTGCTTATATTTCATACTATGTCTTCGTCCATAACACTGTGCTTGCGTAGGCTACTGGGGATGCTTGTTATTCCTTCACTTCAAGTCAGCTTAAAGACGGTGACGGGCTGAGTAGCGACGAGGAATTCGATATCAAATGGACCGCCGCGGCCCTTTACATTGGTCAGTTCACCGACAATCATTTCCATATATGTCATGTTGATCATATTCTATGCAACAGGTGGAAGTCATACGGTGAGTTTCTCTCTGCACGGTCAAACATTTAATTTGATCCTTGGTTAGACCGTCGCATCCATCTCCGCGTTCTTCAAAGCTATGCTTCTGTACCCCGACATTCAGGCAACCGCACAAGCAGAGATCGATGCGATTATTGGGACTGATAGGCTTCCGCGATGTGATGACCGAGAGCGTCTTCCGTATATCAATGCCCTGGCACTAGAGGTTAGCCGTTGGCATACCGTCGGACCATTAGGTGAGTACGAGATACGCATCGCCTTTGACTCCCCATACTTACGGCATTCTCATATCCAGGTCTGCCTCATTCTGTCAGCGAGGATGACGTCCATTCTGGCTATTTCATCCCAAAAGGATCTGTTGTACTAGCGAATATCTGGTATGATTTATCCTTCGTCATTCAGATGCTCAATCAAACCGAGAAGCGAGAAGGCGTTGGGACTTATCCACGCCGAGAGTTTTGAGTGAGCGACGAGTCAGCGATTCGTATTCCCAGCATTTACGTCGACCGATGCTATATGACCACTGAATATCAAATCCTTCATCCTTCAACGCAATAAATTCCTGTTCAAAATCCTCAAAATCCTCATACCGTTCATACAGTATGTGAGCGCTCTTCGGCGCCGGTGGTTCCATCATTTCCTCATTGCGTCGAGATTGTAAAACCTCCAGAAGTGCGGCAACTGATTTTCATGCTCAACATCAAAATATAGATGTTCTAGCAAAGGAACCAGAGTAGGCTTGTTTCGTCGGATGAGAAGCCTCCGAAGCACGCAATTGCGGTAGTCTCCATTGAAGTTCAGCCTAAGGCGCCGTAGCCCGGGTTGGGCTTTCAGAATCCGCCATCCGCAGCCTCCTTTATCATAACCTCCCAGGCCCAGTTCCTCCAGTGTACATTGGGAGCAGCATAACATGTCGGCGACTATGCTGAAATTGTAGCGAAGGAGGACGATGACTAGAGTTCGAAGATGAGAGAATGTCCAGCATTTCATGATGTCAATAGAGAGCATGTTCCGAGGGGCGGGTTGTTGGACGACATGAGGTCGCTGTAGGTGTCAGAGAAACTGGTGAGATCAATGGCAGATAGCATGATGGCAGCAGCAGTGGGCTGGATCCACGGACCGATACCGATAGGGGTGGACCCACGTGTATAGTTGTCATCAAAGTTGAAGAATGTGGGGTGCATAATCCTCGTCGTGGCGGAATTCACGGTCTTTGTTCAAGTTTGATATGTTATATATGTATAGAGCGGCTTCAATATTGACGTTGAGGCCTGAAGACCTGACCACTGAGGATCTCGCCGAAGGCGTCGTCCTTTTCCTTTGGTAACATTCTTCAGCTATCAATGTCAGGTAGCAAGGTCTTCACGGTGACGTAACAAAAGAAATGCTTGCTCGACACTGTGTATCTTAGTAATACTGTGACCAAATACCGTGAGGAGGAATCGCACCCAGAATCTATGTTGGGATTTTGCTGGAAAGTTCTAGAAAGGGCAATCCGGCATCATGCCGAGAGTTGATGAGTAAGCCCGAGAGAAAGAGAAAGTTGTAGTAAATTCTAGATACAAGCCTGGAGAGTATAAATACGAGCTCTGTAGGAGCTGCAGAATAATAAGTTCATACCATCTGGCCTTACCAGCCTGGAGTCTACCCTGCGCAACACCGAGGATTTCCAACAATCTATGTCTCTCTATGAATCACATCCACTTCATGATATCCTCATCGTTTGGTCCATCTGGCGTGTCCGACGCAGCAAGATTGCACTGGTGGAAGACGCGTACTTGATCTTGTCCAAAGACACCTACCACAGAATGCATAACACCGCGATTATGGAAGAGCATCAAATCTTTTTCTTGCCTATAAAGTTAGTCAGCATTTGGTCTGTTAGGGTTGCGAGAAGCTTACCAGGCATGTGGATAGACCAGCTTCGAAAGGTCAGCGTCTCTTGGCACCTATATCTTTTATAAGTGCTCACTTTTGGTGCAATACCAGGCCGCTGCATCTCATGACACAGTTTTCTCACTTCCTTCAAATCTGTTATATGAGCGCCGTTTGGGTACAACACACCCTCTCGTCTTGCATTTTCAGGTACTGGATCAAGATAGATCTCCATGATCGCACAGGGATGAACCTCGAGGTGTAGATCTCCCGTCATCGGATTTTTCCAGAGCTATTTATGAACAGTCGGTCGCTTTTTCTGTAATCATACTCATCTGAACTCACAAACGGATAGATCTTTATCTTTTCTTTGTCCCAGTCCAATTCCTCCATGCTCTTCTCATACCCTTCCGACTCCAATCCGAGCCCCGTCTCTACCGCGCGCGCTTCCTTCATCCACTCAAAAGGCTTGGGCGCATATTTAGCCTTCGCTCTCACCGCAACGCTCTTCATCTCCGGCGGGAGAATATCGAACATCACCTTCCCCGACACGAAGGCCGTAGTTCCTAACGGAACCACCAGCTCATCCCCACTCCTATCGTCATACCTCACAACTTGGTTCGGGCCCTTGGGCACTCGAATCCCATATAGCGCCGTCACCTTTGGCGGATCGAGATCGTACAAAGCCGCGTCCATATGCCAACGAAAGAACCTAGTGACCCCTCGCGCCTCGTCCTCATCGGACACACGTGTCTTGTGAAAGCTCGAATGGTGCGCATGTTTGAGCACCGCTTCGGGGATACCTTCGTGGTCCCGGACAATCCCGTTCCCGATGAGCTGCACCTGTGGGACACGCGGAATCGTTTTGAGGTACGAGTGGAGGATGGAGGTTTTGGTTTGGTCGACCTTGCTGTTGCCATGTCCGTAGGCAGTGGAGTCGGGGTCGAAGGCCTGTGCGTACGTTAGGCCCGTGAGGGAGAGAAAGAACGACGAGTTTGTTACCTTGACCAGATCGCGTATCTCCTCTGGGGTTAGGTCAACGTTGCGAAACAGGAGCGCCCCGTGCTGTGTTTACGTCTTCGATAAGACCGATGTCGCACGAGTGTTGAGACGAACCGTGTAGAGCGCCTCTTTGACTTGTCCGTATGAGGTTGCAAGATGGGCTGGGTGGAGACCTTTGACTTCTCGTCCAAAGTCATTCAGTTTGGCTGTATCTGCAGACGCAGGGAGGGATAGAGGAACTAGATTGATGGTCATGATACAGATGTGAAAGCCGAAGACTTTATATAGTCAGGGTACCTAGCTCTTCCATAGCCTGAGAACGGATCGTAAGTGATGCACATGACCATGTCTAATGCAACCTCAAAAACAGGTGCAGAAGATAACATGCCAGATATCATATATAGCAAAGAAACATTGTCCGCCTACAATGCCAGTAGCTTCACGACGAAAAGCAAAGTCAGATATCTGTACTTGATCCCGCTTTCCAAAGCTATTGCTGTCACTAACACTGCTTGCTGTCGAAGAAAAGCTCAGACGCCGCGTCACTTACGCTGAAAGACGAACTCAGCGGACCCAACGAAGAAGTAGGTCCAAGCGGTGGGGAGCCCGAATCCAGCGCTCTCAGTCAAGGTACTGTCAAAGTTGATTATCGCAGTCAATGTATTAACAAGTTGTGCGACAGTCGAGAAACCCGAAGAGGAGCACAGCGTATCTAAAATGTCCATCCATTAAGCCGAAAACTAATAAGGAGGGGAGAAAGCATAAAAACCTACCTATGAGGTGGAGAATCTTCTGAGGTTGCAGGTGATCGGTAGACGCTCAATACCATTGACAATTTGACGGGCTGCGCTTCAGTTGCACCGGTACCATTGAGATTGATGCCCAGAGCAATCGAAACCTTGGCAAGTCATCCAAGTGCATGAAACGGTCCCATTGCTGCTGAAAGTAAAGACAAGGTGTTCAGTGTCGACAAGCAAACCAGCCCGATCTCTTTCATGACCACTTCTTCACATCCTCGGTAGTTGGTCCCGAAGGATTATCAGACGCGACAAGATTACATTGATGGAGTGTGCGGATCTGATCCTTGTTGAACGCGCCCACGACACTATGCAAGACCCCTCGATTATGAAAGAGAACGACATCTCTTTCATTCCAGTCGTGCGGATAAACGAGCTAGAGAAAGCGCGTCATTAATACCTACAGACTCCCAGAGAAATACGGCTCACCTTTGGGGCAATGCCCGGTCGCTGCATCTCGTACAGCAACTCCCTGATCGCCTTCAAATCCGTGAGATGGACCCCATCCGGGTATAACACGCCTTCCTTCCCGCCACCTTCCGGTATCGGGTCAACCAACAGCTCCACCACACCGCATGGATGAACCTGCAGATGGAGCTCGCCCGTAACTGGGTTCTTCCATAGAACGGGAAGTACCATCCGCTTAGCCTCCTCCCACGGCGGGAGCTGATCGTATGGGATCTCCAGATCTTCTGATTCCAATCCCAAACCTGTCGACACTGCATGCGCCGGGGCCATCCACACGTACGGAAGAGGCGCGTACTTGGCTTTGGAGCGCACGGCGAGACTCTTGAGCTCGGAAGGGAGGATGTCGAACATAGTTTTGCCGGACACAAAGGCGGTGGTACCCAGAGGCACAGGTAGCTCGTCACCCGTTCCGTCGTCATACCGACACGTCTGCTTAGGGCCTTTTGGCACGTTGATAGCGTATAGAGTGGTGACCTTGGGGGTGCGTCGGTCGTAGAGGGCGGCATCGATGTGCCATCTGAAGAAACGGGTCGTTCCTTTAGCTTCGTCTACCGGAGATACACGAGTCTTGTGAAACGTTGTGTGGGAAGGATGCTTGAGCGTAGCGTGGGTGATGCCTTCGTGGTTGTATATGGTCCCGTTACCGAGAAGCTGTATTTGTGGTACACGAGGGATGGTCTTGAGGTCAGGATGTAAGATTGAATTCTTGTTCTTGTCTATCTCGTTGTTACCGTGCCCAAAGTCGTCGCACGCTGGGTCGTCTGATTCAAAAGCCTAAGGAATGTCAGCAATTGAGAGATTTTGAGGTGTAAATGCTTGCCCTGTTGAGCATGTACTGCTTCTCTGGTGAAAGATCAACATTGCGAAAAAGCAAGAGGTCGTGCTAGGCAATATAAGTTGATGAACATTGCAAGTGATCAGATACGCACCTTGTAAAGGGCATCCTCAATCGTCGCGAATTCCTCAGCGGTAAAGTTGGTCGGGTCAAAGCCCGTCACTTGACGCCCAAACGAGAGGAAATTGGACGCTTCTGCAGAGTCGGGCAGCGGCAAAGGAGTGAATTCGATGGTCATGCCTTCCTATATGCGCAGGCGAGGAGTTGAAGGCAAATAGAAAGGAGATAACGAAAGATAACGAAAGACAATATGACTGCTACAGATCAAGGGAACAATGACTGCCGGGTACCAGTACAGAACCAAAACGGCACAAATAAAATTTGACGAAGAGGCCGACTGCTGCAAGGGTGTGGAGTCGTCATGACGGAAAGAAGGAAAGAAAATATTGCAGAAATTAGGAAAAAATGATCGGACCGGTCGTCCCCCGCCGGCTTTCTTCCCTACCATGACCATCACAGATCTGTCGTTTTCCCATTGGGCATCTGCAGTCCTTAATTTAACGCCGATTTTCTCTTTCGCTCGTCAATTCTCTATGTGGGAGCCAGACAGGCAAACACTCAAAATCAGCCCAGTGATTCTACTGTCAGTGTAGAGTCTTTTCGCTCCCTTGGTTGAATCACAATTCCAATGGCAATTCTGCGGAAAGAGAGGGCTGTCGGGACGATGAAAAACGCGTTTGTCTGCTCGCATTCCTCTACAAGATGGATCTCATGGGAGGAAATGGATGATCCGCCGTCGTTGCTACCGAACTTGCGATGTACGGAGCACGCATTTATCTCGTGTTACCAGCATGGACGTTAAAGATTTAATTTGCACGCCCGAACCATATAGCAAGCGTCGAAAGGATTAACGTTATTCTGGAATCATAGGAGCGCTCTGGCCAACTAGTTCGAATGTGAAGGACCCATACCACGATCAGGTCACTATCAGCCTCGCATATACCAGCCTCTCATTGTCAATAACCCTGGGATTGCATCACGGACGCCGGACAATGATGCTCTCTCACGGTCTTTGTCTTGCTGTAACCACACAGTGGAACGCCAACTTGCCTGATGGATGCTCAAAGGATGTGCCCTTGAGAAGCCTCACCAAACGTACTATTCGCCATGAAAGCGGCTCCCAAGCAAGCGAGTTAACAAAACATCACGTCTGCCATTGCATGGTGGCAAAAGCCAGATCCCTGGCAACAAGACATCTCACCTATATTTGCGTAATGCAGGTGGCAGGACTCGAGCATACCTTGCATGGATTCGGCTTAAATTATTGATCTGCCATGTCCAAAAGTGAGCGACAATGCCGCGCATATAACCGATCTCGGTATAAAAAGATTGAATTTTGTCTTAGTGTCTTCACTGACCGTCAACCCACAGCGATGTCGAATGGAAGAGATACTGGGACTCATGGAGCGCCGATACATAACTACTATTACCAGCCGCCTTCTAGGGACATGGAAATAGGAACCCGTCGCAGCATTCATGGGGGTGGCAGTACGTTGAAGGACCTCCAGCAGTATAAACATACAAACGCGCGCTCTGTGACGAAGTGCCACGAACTCGCTATGCCGTCCAAACCGGTCCTCCATGACGCCTATCAACAAGCACTACAGTGGGCTCAAAGTCTCCCCGAAGTTTGGGTACACTTCCTCTACTCATTTTCTTATACCCGGGGCCACTGACAGCCATGGCAGAAACGCCCCTGCTCAAGCGACGCTATTCGTTTCTTTCCCTTTACCAACAAGCTCAAGATCAGACTGTGGGATTCAAACGTATCTCGTCGTCCGGACTCGTCAATGCGCGTCTTTGGCCTCGATTTCGTCGATACACATGGGAAACCGCAGTACGTGGGACCAAGAGTCGTAGTTATCGCTGGGAGGAAAGTGCCATTTGATGGTCCTGAAGTGGAGGGAGATGCTCTGGTGCCAATAGATGGTGTTGGTGAGTCAAAGGCCACGGTCCCGGAAAGATATGGAGTTGTGGCGGATTGCGAATACCTCTTCCTTATTGATGGAAAGGTGGCCGTTGCCTATACGTTTGCGCAGAATTCATTGGACTCATAGAGAGTTAATGCCATTATTCTTGTCTGATCTTGCTTGCCAGAAAATCGATGAAACTAGTTCAACGCGCAGCCGGGACTTCGGTCCGGGTGTCCGCCGACAGAATGGCGTGGGAGCATTTCTTCACTCGCTGTTGTCTTCATCTCCTCATTCATTCTTCATTGTTGCGGATTTCGCGCCTTTCCTCTCATCACGCTAATAATTTATGAGGATATGGTATCATCCAGTTCAATTTAACCTCTGCAACCCGCTTTCTCGACGGACCGTCTCTCGAATCTGGAACGTTCAACAGATGCCTCAGATGGCAAGGCAACAAGGGGTCCATCTTTGAATATCCTATGGCGCTGGATGGCAGAAAGTTATTAGTTGATGTGTAGGACTTGTAGTTTTCATCGTTACCAATGTGTGTGTTCTCGGGAGTCGAGACTGCTGAGGTACATTTTTTTCTTGTCGCGAACGAACTGATCATTGATCATAAGGCATCTGGTATCAGGACTACGCGAGGAGGTTCCCATCGGCCTTTGTCAAGAGAAAGAGGCTCGGCTATTGGGGATCATTATGCAACGCGATTGAATGGGATATATCCCGCTGAAGGAGATATCTATGATGGATCAGAACCACTAGGCGCCGTTCGTTAGACGCAGAATACACTCAATGCGGGACAATCAGAAAGCCTCGTTGAGCTCGGGCTATCGTCGATGCTTTGTGGAGGACTCGGCGTTTACCCTTGAATGCGAACCGTAGGAGGGGCTTGACGACGAGTGCCGGACATACGTTCCTTCATTTTACTCAACACGCGATCAGAACAAGACTGCACATCGTGATGATATAACTGAGGTCCTTCTATCCATTCCCCCATCTTCTCGCTTCTCCGATGTGGCCCTTCTCATCGTCGTACCCAACGGTCAAGCCTTCCGGATGCCGGGATCAAACTGGGAGACGTATCTCGCTCTTCTGCACCTACACTCAACTACATTATCGTTGGAGGTATACTTGTCATTCATTGCATCGATATCCATCTCTAACCTCCTCGATTAGGTGGTACAGCAGGATGCTGCCTTGCCTCTCGCCTCAGCGAAGACCCTAATGTCACTGTACTCCTCATTGAACGCGGGTGCGTGGCCGATACGTGGGTCAATGCTGTATCCCTCATTTCTTCCGACATCTTCAAGAAAGATTCCATAGCCCGGCCCTTGAATTCTCTCCCACAGGCGCATGCGGACCACCGCGTTATTCCTCTGATGCGCGGCCAGGCGTCAGGGAGGATATCGCGCGTAAACGCCATGATTTACACGCGTGGTGTTCCGGCTGATTTCAATCGTTGGGCAGACATGAGCCATTCGGATTGGAGTTATGAGAAGGTGCTACCGTTTTTCGTCAAGTCGGAAACAACTCTGAGCCACCCTGGGTCGACATTTCGGGGCAAGAATGGTATGTGTTTCTGCTCTTTAAGAACCCCTGTGCTGAGCTGTCTTCAGGTCCGTGGGTGAACCAGGTCTTTTCTCATGAAAGTTGGCCTATTCTTCCACAGTATGTTTGCTTCCTTGATTTTTCTCCCTTTTTATTGAGAGCCCGTTTTATAGCGTCAAGGAAGCCGCGCAGAGCATGAGAATTCCATATTATCCCGACTGCAATGATCCCTCTGCCGTCTATCAGCTGTGCGCAAATCGACATAGCTATAGACCGAAACATGAAGCGCCGCTCGACGTACTCAGTTTTTCTGCCACCGTCTGTAGTTCGCTCTCGCCAGGATCGTCTCAAGATTTGCCCGGACACCATTTCAGAGCGGATAGTTTTTACTACGAATACTAGCATGCGACCACGTTCTTCTGGCGTTGAATTTGGACATCGTGACGGAACAGGGGCGTCCTACTTCGCCAAGGCTAACAGGAAGATTGTTGTATGTTGTGGCGCCATCGAGTCCCCACAGCTTCTCCTGAGGTGCGCGGTTTATCTGCACAAGAATTCCTATTTCTGAATAGTATCATAGTGGCATCGGACCAAGTGATCATCTCAAAGCTCATGGAATCAAAGTCATTGTAGATAACCCCGGCGTGGGTAGTCATCTGGTAAGACCCTTGGCACCATGCTTTGCATATTAATCTGATGTTTGACTAACAGAAAGACTATGTCGACGTGCCTGTGATGTGGAACATCCCTCTTAATGAATCCATTCACGTCGTTTTAGAGAAACCCCTGCAAGCAGTCTTTGAACTTGCCAAATACCTCATTTCAGGGAAGGGTATATTTAGCGATCTCTTCGTGCATCTGGCCATCTTCCTACCATCAAGGCTCCTGAACGAAAACACGAAAATTGTTGCTCCCGATATCACCGACCTTGATTCGACGTTGCCACAGAACGGGTCAGACCTCGAGATTAAGCCTATGCCTATCCATGGCTTGGACCCTCCTCCCGACGCCACGATAATTCGTATCAAAGAAGGCTTCATGAACTTCATGATATGCCTTCTCCGACTGAGATCCACTGGTGCCGTTCACCTAAACTCTCCCGATCCATACGAGAGAGTGAGCTGCGATCTCAGGATGCTGTCTGATCCCGAGGACCTTGCAGCCTTGACCAAAGGCGTGCGGCTCTCCATTAACTTGGCCGAACGCGTTCGTGCACAGGGGTATCCCATGAAGATGTTCCATCGTCCAGCATCAAAGTACGATGCCGAAATGCTCCTATCTCGTTGCGGGCAATACACGCGCTAGGAGTCTATGCTAAGCAAGTCCAATATTTTACTACAAAGGTGCTCATAGAGCTTACGTCTTGTCACAGCATATCCCGTGTCCGTCTGCAGCTGTACATACGAACAAGGGCGACGTTCTTTTCCCATTTCATCTATACCTGAAGACGAGACGTGATCTCGACAAATATTGATATTTCGGTGAGGAAGATGGCTCACTGACTGAAGGATTTTATCGTTACGGATACCTAGCCAGACCAATGGGGAGATACTATCGCTCTCTTGGGTAACATATCGTCCATGTCCTCGTTCGCATTCAATTATCACTTCGATCCTCATCTACGCGTGCACACCCGGGCGTCCAAATGCTCCATCGATCTTGCTCTGAATACCGCGAGTCCAAGTGCTCTCATCTGCTGTTTCCACCATCACGACAGCTGCAAATATGGCTCTCGAAGCAGAAATCAGCATCCGAACCTCGTGTCTGTACGTCTGAGTGATTGACGGTGATATTACTGCTTGTATGAACACAACTGCGCAGAACCGAAAAATTCGAACCGGGCTCAAACTCATAGGAAAGATAGACGGACCCGTAAAGCCCGGCTGAACCAGTTGATCATCGTCTGCCAATACAGCCATTAATATTATCAGCGGTGCTGGCAAGCCAATGTGGCCTCGTCTTAGGCAGCTCTCGATCACCAAGTTTTCGATAACTCAAGGAGACACGTCGTGGCAGAAGGGAAGCTGTGTGAAAGGAGAGACGTGCAGATCCGACCATGCTCCCAACGTGGTTTGTTTTCTTGTTCTTATTCGCACACTTGTATCCAACTACTGGCGATTTCAGGATTCGATACGGATCTGTTAGAGAAGAGAATTAGACGCTGGAAGAGGAACGTTCCCTACCCTTGTCTACAATTGCGCCTCTTCAGAAATTAACAATAGTCGGTGCCGTGCGTTGAAGGGAACTCGCAGTAGATGGAGAAATGCCAAATCCTTATTACTCAAAACACTTAAGTGCTGGAACGTGTTCAATTTTTATGGGTTGTCAAGACCGAGCCACAGCCCACATCAATATCTATCCGGAGACACATAACTGCACTTCGATCTCGTACTGATCAAGTTATTTTGGCGTCATAGCTAAAAGTCGAGGACGGGTTCGTTGGTACAACAACCAGCTTTACGTCCCCTCACGGGTTTCTAAAAGATAGTCTACGATTCTGGGAGTGGTTGAAAGTGAGTTGAATGATATTTAGCATTGAGATATGTCCTAAGTTATGAGTAAAAACTTTTGGTAAAAACAAAATTGAGTAGGGTTACTAGTGCGTGAGTTCAAAGCTGCTATAAGCGTGTACAAACAACTTGAATGTCAGTCGGTATGGATCATTTGTGGCTCAATTGGCGTCCTGCTGTTTGTCGTTTTTCTCGCCTTCATTCTCCTTGGGCTTAGGCCTGTTGCTGAATGTTAGATGCTCCTTCTCGTAAAGTGAAATCCTCTACTCACTTGGACTGTGTGGCGACATGGGTCGTATAGGGTGGGGCCACTGATTCCACCGTCGTATATCCCGGTGCAATAGAGCTTGTCGTACTGGGAGAGCGCTGCATACTACCGTTGGAAGTATCGATATGGTGACGATTCCTGGTAGAACTGGCCCCGGCTCGTGAAGTCTCGGCTTTAGGTGTACGTGGAGCTGAGTGGTGGCCGTGATGTCCATGTTGCGACCAGGTGTCTGAAGTTCCGCTGTCACCTGAATGACGATTTTTGACGTGGAAATTTGGCTTCGAGGGTTTCGAGGTCCCTAGATAAGGCGAAGCTGCAGGCGCCTTTGTGTTTCCGCCAGGGTATGCTTGAGTAGGGTACCCTTGCTGCGTGTTATGGTACGATTGTTGAGTCTGTTGGGTAGTGTATGATGCCTGTTGGGGAGGGTAGGCTTGCGAAGGGAATGCTTGATTAGGGTACCCTGATTTTGGAGGGTATGCCTGTTGGGCCTGTTGAGTAGGGTACGCCTTTTGAGTGGAGTACGACACTTGTTGCGGAGCATACGCTTGCGAAGGATAGGTCTGGTGAGGTGATACCATGGCGGAGTAGCCTTGGTTAGTGGGGTACCCAAGTTGTTGAGTCAGAGGTCCTCCTTGCGTGAGCTTGTCATAAGCAGGCGGCCGGCCGGCGTACGCCGATGAACCAGCCCCTCCTCCAGGCTGTCCACCAGAATGAGGATAAGGTTTCTTATTGGCGCTTGACGAACTTGAGGGTAATAAATCATAAGTTAGAATACAAAGCAGCATATTAGGCGCAACATACTTAACATTTGTGGATGGGAGACCGCCGAATGTGGGTACGTTCGACCCATCTCCTTGCGCGGGGAGGCTCTGTGTAGGTCTTTGAAAATATAATGGTCGGTTAAGCCGAAGCAACACAAGGCGCATAGCAACTCACATTATGGGTGACGGCGCTCCGAGGAGCGGTATCGTGATACCGTGTTTCGTCTCCTTGTCTCTCTGGTGATGAAAGAGATATCAGATATTCGAATGAAATTTTGGTAGTAGAGAGTACCCTTGACTTGTACTGTTCACTGTTCAAGTCAAAGAATCAGTACTAATAGGGTAATGCGACGAAGACATGACTTACTCCACTGAACGTCTAAAGAACCATGAATCGGCATGTTAGTGATCGACAATGACTGATAGTACTGTCAGTGCACTGACTTATCTTTAGCTGTATGAGTATCCGGCACATTAGCTTAGAAGATCTCAATACTCGTAGATGAAGTACGCACCCTGTTTAGCTATAAATGTAGCACCCTCGGAGGCAGCCGATAGACCCTTGGAGGAATATTACAATGATGCAGATGCAGTTTAGAACCTCACCGACCTTAGCGCTCGTAGCGACATTATAGGCTTTAGTGGCGTATTTTCGGCTATTCCTAAAAACCTTTGGTTTGAGGTTAGCGATGATGGGATTGCTTATAACTTCTTCGCTGAGCTCGTCGCCAAGTTCAGATGCACTTGAAAGTCCAAATATCAATGAAGAGTACGTGAGGAAGGGAGGAACATTACGCCTTGCATCACCCACTTTTTATATTTAGTCACAAAACCCTCCACCGCTCTGGGAGGCCATTTGGCACCGTTCTCCGTCATCTCCGCCAAAGCGATATTTTCGAGGAGTTCGTTGCCTGCTTGTATGTTCTTGGTTGGCGAAATCGAGACTATCGGTGGATCAACCAGGGGCTCTGAGTCGGGCTTTTTGTTCCAGCTCATGCTGACAAACGGTGTGGTGTAAGGGGGACGTTCTTGTTAGGATTGTGACGACGAGAGGACGAGGAAATCTTATATAGATTCATGTCTCGCTGATTATAGAAAATTAAAGAAAGAACCATTCCGGGAAAGAGCAGCAGGATGGGGATTGCAGGGCATAAAACAGCAATGACTCATACCAAATCGAACCCTGAGATCCTGAGAGTAGGACCGATGAGAGTTGGATGAGAATGGATACTCTGGATCCGGCGGAAAACACTCAGAAGGGGAAGCAAACAACTGAATCAACCCTGAGAAATTAGGAAGGGCGAGGAAAGGTGCTCGAGCCGAACAACTTCAACAAGCGCTGAGATCGAGGACCCGCGCTGTTACGAGTCATCGATACCGCACGGCCGCCTGAGCACCATATGTTCCTGAATTTGAAAAGAATCTTATAGATGCAGCGGTTTGGTCCGACTTGCTATCTGCATGCCAATAGCCTGAGCTTAGTGTGAGGCACACATTGTCGTGCGGGGCTTATCGCATTTACATAAAATACAGTACTTTAAGGGCCCCTTCCAAGTCCAAATACATGTACAGCTAGCGTAGCTATGGGCAGGGAGACATCTCGGTCACCCCGCTAACGTGTCCAGGTGTGAGGGTATAGAAGGATCGAAATCGTGAATTAGTGACAGTGTCAGGCTCCAAGAACTTCTTCACAGGCAAAGGAGCCACGCCAGTCACAGTATATTTCAGCCGTCGACAGCGGTGACCAAGCCCAGCAGCATCGATGCCCGGAAAGGCACGCAGCTGTGATGTAGACAGTGAATTACACAGTCTTACGAAACGCGCAGAAGCCTCGCTCATCGTTGGCCGCAACGAAGGCTCATCCTGAGTCATATCTTCGACAAGAGGAAGAAGAAATTCCAGAGCCGGACAAAATTCCTGAGGAGAAGTCAGTTATCATAATCATGGACGTAGGGGTGCTACAAAACTCACTATACCATAATCTTTACGCATTATGTTTGCCACACAGTACACATCGAAAGGGAAGGGATTCAATCTAGTGGACGGGTCGGCACGGATTCTCTCCATTTCTGGCGCTGATCTGTCGCCTGCGGCCACGATATGATCAAATGGGAGTTCGCTCGGATCGTAACGACAAGAATACCCGAAATCAATGATATGATAGCGAGGCCAGCACTGAGTACGTGTAATATGCGTTGCAAAGCCAATGTTGTCATTGTCTAAAAAATGATAAACGGGATGAAATCCTTTGGGATACAGCTTGCTCGCATCGACCATCACGTTCAATATATTGATATCTCTGGAAGCGAATGGTCAATAGGTTCAGCGCGAAATAAGTGAAGACTGACTTGTGCGCCACAAAGTTTTCGTGCATAAACTCAACGCCCTTCTCAGAAGTTTAATCGGACCGCACTCATAAAGAGCGGGAGCACACACCTCAAATATTTGTCGAAACGCCTCAACGAATTCACCTACAGTGTCAAATGAAGGTGTCTTCATTTCTCGCAGCCGCGGCATAACAATCATCTGATCGTCAGGATCGTACGGAGACTGAAGAACCTCATAGACAGGAACACAGTGGTTCCTCGGGTTATCAGACAAGGGAGAGGAAGAAAAGAATGTTCCCAATTCGACTTCGAAAGGAAATTCTGTCTTCACGATGCGCTTCAAAACAACGAGCTTGCCATCTTGAATGCGCGTTGCGTCAATAATGTCAGGATTCTGCAATGCAATATCAGTTATCTGACAAGAATAATCTTTTACTAATACCCCATGCCCAAGAATCTCTTCGCTAAATATCATCTCCCTTTCCGATTTCCACGTCGGCTTCCAGTCTGGGTGAAATTTGGGACGGAGCTGGAAGCCAGATTCGAGCAGAAAGGAATGGTGATGCACCCATAACATTTCCAATCGTCGCCATGAGAGGTCGGGCTGCCACGGCACTCGAGGCTTACTACGGCGGAATAAAGTCATGGTCAAAAGAAAGAAAGAATTCGGTTGCCTTCTTGCCAAAAACTTTGGAACCAAACAAGCCACAATCAGTCGCTTTTGCGTTGTTTACTAGGTAGCACGATAAACCTAGTCCATGGGCTTGGCTTAATAATAACCATTATTCGTAGCAAGTCAGAGTGTGCCTCCGTAGTAGGCCCAGTTGAAGTAGTTCAATTCCCTAGTTGCAAGGTCTTCGCTCATGTCCATTCTTCCAGACAGTTCCATCCCGTCCTTCTCTCTCTTAGAGTAGGCACTCCTTCACTATGTGCTCACTGCCACTACGTGGACAATATGTTTGCCATCCGCTCGGGAACATAGCCATACACTGGAGAATTTCGCACGGTGCAGTAAATTATGGCCAAAATGTTTTGAAAAGATTCGCCGCTGCGAATAGCCACGAATGCTGACACACGTCGTGCACGGAAATGACAACGTCCAATTCACGGCAGCCGCAGCTAGCCTGAACCAGGACCTCGATGTCATTGGTCGATGAATATTTTGCACCAAGAACGCACATGTATCCCCGATGCCACGCTCAAAATTTCAGGGCTATGTCGGCGTCCAGAACCAATTGGATATGATTATGGCGTTCTGACATATGTATGAGATGCATATCACAACTCGGCGATGCAAATGCAGGCCACGAATCTTTCCATGCTGCAGTCGCTTCCGAAACCCTTCACAGAAAGGGACTCACTGAGACGCGACTCTGCGTATGAAGGCCAGTGTGTGCAATCATTACGACAGGTGTGTTCTTCTTAAGGTGAGGCAATGATATTTTCTATTGACTGGTAGGCAGTTAGCCTTCAATTTTAGTTACCGGTCTCCGGGAATGGATCGATTCTCACGTCCGGCATCCCCTCGTGTTTGCCTTCGGATCCTCCTTACAAAGAAGGTCATATGCGCAGGAGAGTCAGAGAGTGTCCTCTCGGAGATACCCAGTATACGGCCTAGCTCGCTGAGAGCCCTGAAGATAACATACACTTGATATCTGAGATCCTACCGATTCCTACATAGAGACTTCAAGCCTTCAGTCTTATATCTAAACACGCGTTTCAAGGGTCTGCCCCATGACTCAACTCTGGTGCAGCAAGAGCAATGGTTCCTGAAAATAGAACCATTCCTCTGCGATAATACTGCGACAAATCAGATACTCCATTAGTGCTCCGAGTCGGTCCCTATGAATGAACGAGGTGCATTGACTTCAATATTAATCATATCATATAACATGATACGGCACGACTATCCGAAATGATTCACTTACATGATGATGATAGGTCCGCACCTGTTTAGTTTCAGTAACTCATCAGATCGAACCCTGAGATCTAGAGTAGGTACCTGCCTTTGGCTAAAATACACTGAGAAGGGAAGCAGGGAATTATTGCAAAAAGCCAATGACTCGACCATTGTTAGCCCTTGAGAAATCATAGGCGAGGACAATGAGGAATCCTGTTCTGGCCCAGCCGAGCAAGCGTTGAGATGAAATGTAAATCGTGGCTAAGAAAAGATATCACAATTCATAGACCGGTCCTGAATTTGACAGAACGTTATGGATATATCGTTACAGTGTAAGCTGTCACTTGCCCGAGGTGATTAACTCGTGTATACCATGCCACTTCGATCATACGAATTGATCCCATCAACAGCGCTGAGATAATGTGAAGAAGAGTACGGCTGGGATAATCACGTACCCTGTTTAGTACAAGATCCATGACGCCTACGTCGCAAAGGATCATCAAAAATTCCATGGAAAACCACCGAGTCCAATGATCACTCACAGATAAGATGTACAACTGCAGTGCTGCCACATTTCCAGACCTCCCTCCCTCCATAACGTACAAATGGAGTACAAAACCTTAATTAACCACACCCTTTCTAATTGCATGTAAAGCACAGCCAGCGTAACTATGAGTAATGTGTCTCTTTAATCTCACCGACATGTCCAGGAGTAAGCGTATAGAAGGACCGAAGGCATGAATCAATGACAGTGACAGGCTCCGAGAACTCCCTCGCAGGTAGAGGAGGTACACCAGTCACAGTATACATAAGCCGTCGACAGCGGTGACTAAACCCAGCAGAGCCGCCTCTCGGAGAGGCGCGCAGCTGAGATGTAGTCAGTGAATTGCAGAGCCTTGCGAAACGCGCGACAGCCTCGCTGATCGTAGGTCGCAACGAAGGCTCGTCCTGAGTCATATCATTCACAAGGGGAAGAAGAAATTGCAGAGGCGGATGGAACTCCTGCCAAGGAAACGTCAGTTATCACTGATTATCGATGTAGTGTGCCGTAAAACTTGCTATACGGCAATCTTTACGCATTATGTTCGCTATGCAGTAAACATCGAAAGAGAACGGATTCAATCTGGCGGACGGGTCGGCATGGAGTCTGTTAAGCTCTGGCGCAGACCTGTCGCTTGCGGCCAGGATGACATCGGATGGAAGTTCATTCGGATCGTAGCGACGGGAGTACCCAAAATCAATGATATAATAGCGGGGCCAACACAAGGTACGTGTGGTATGTGCTGCGAAACCAGTGTATTTGGCATTTAGGGTTTGATGGATGGGATGAAAGCCTTTGTTCTAAGTATGGGATGCTCCCATAAAAGCCAGGATGGACGTTTCTTTGTCACAACAGGCCGATTTGATTAATGTCTCTTCGCGTTTGTCCATTAGGGCCATGTGCTTCAATACAGCAGGGTAGCCGGCTCCTAGTGCACACAGCTCGACTAACGGACCGCTTTTGTTAATGCTGCTGCGCCTTTGTTATCCCATTTGATTTGCATTTCCGAGATATTTCGCTATCACAAACCTCGGGTACCAGTAAATTAGCCTCCTAACGTTCAGTGACTCGGTTCTTGCCCCTTCAAGCTGAGACAAACAAGGCATCTGTCCCTTGACAGGTCTAATTGATTATGTTTCGTTTATTCTAGTCATGATTTGGAGTAGGGCGAAGAGATGATTTTAACCAAACAAGCCCCGCAAGAAATCCAGGCAAAGGTCGGTGTTGAATATCATAATTTGGTCACAACAATAACAGTGCAAGTCCACGAGGAAACGGTACCTACTATCAGGGCAAACACGGGAGATGCCAGGCGGTGAGAACCAATACCTTCCCGCAGATTTACCTTTCGATACCGGCAATTAAATTTCAACGCTGATATGCCGTTGTATCGCCGGCCAGTCAGTAGAAAATGTACATTGCCTCGCTTTAAAGAGAACGCACCTGTCGTAGTGATTGCACACCCTTACCTTAAGACTCGGAGTCTCTTTCTTTGAAGGGTTTCCGAAGTGATTGCAGCAATCAGCAAGGAGAGATCATGGTCGTGTTTCTGCATCGCCGAGTTGCGATATGCATTTCATATATACGTCAGAACGCCACAATCATATCGAGGTTCCAGCTGGTTCTGGACGCCGACGTAGCGTTCTTGGTGCAAGATATTCATCGAGGTCCTGAAATCCTTTGGCTTGCGGCCACCGCAGATTGACGGTACAGTATCATTGCATGCACGTGCATCACAGCATTCGTTTTCAAGACGATTTACTGCGCCATGCGAACGGATCTTTGGAACAAATTACTTTAGCTCTCCCGGCGCATGGCTACATTTCCGAGCTGATGCCAAATTCCTTTTCAATGTAGCAGTGATCACCGTATTGGCAGATGATACTGTGGTCAACGAATCCTTAGTCTAGAAGCATAGGCGCAGGCGAAGAACTTGAAACCAAGAGGTTGTTTGAAAGTTACTTCAAGGCACCTCGGTCTGACTGATTGTAGATTGTTTGGTTCCAAAGCCTTTGGCAGGATGGTAACCGATTTTATTTCTTACCTTTCGATGATGACTTTATTCCGCCGAAGGCGTCGAGTGCTGTGGCAGCCCGACCTCTCATGGCGACAAACAGAAATGTTCTGGGTGCAACACCAACCATTTCTACATGAATCTGGGTACCAGCTACATCCCAAATTTCACCCAGACTGGCAGCCAAAATGGAAGTCGAAAACGGAGATGCTGTTTAGCGAAGAGGCTCGCTTACATTTGGTAGTTCCATTACCCTTTTCGTTATCTAGAGGGTTGATATGCTATTGTAGTCTCCTGATATCATTGACGTAACGCGAGCCAGAGACGGAAAGCTTGTCGCGTTGAAGAGAGTCTCAAGAGTGAATTATCCTTTTGAAGTCGAATTGGCCACATTCTTTTCATCCTCTCCGTTGTCAGATGATCCCAAAAATCATTGCATTCCTATATATGAGGTTCCTCAGTCACTGTACGACCATGACATCCAATTCATTGTTATGCCACGGTTGCGGAAAAGTAGCACACCCGCATTCGACACCGTAGGTGAATTCATTGAAGCATTTTGACAGATGTTTGAGGTAAGGACTGATGCTACTGCTACTACGGCTCAATCTAATGTTTCAGTAGGGCCTTGAATTTATGCATGAAAACTTTGTCGCGCATAAGTCAGTGTTCGCCAGCCCTTTGGTACTTCACTGTGTTGACCATTCCATTTCACTAGCAGAGATATCAGCACCTCAAACATTATGCTTGATGCGACCAAGCTGTATCCCAAAGGCTTTCATCCCATCCATCAAACCCTAAATGCCAAATACACTGGTTTCGCAGCACATACCACACGTACCTTGTGTTGGCCTCGCCATTATATCATTGATTTTGGGTACTCCCGTCGCTACGATCCGAATGAACTTCCATCCGATGTCATCCTGGCCGCAAGCGACAGGTCTGCGCCAGAGCTTAACAGACTCCATGCCGACCCGTCCGCCAGATTGAATCCGTTCTCTTTCGATGTTTACTGCATAGCGAACATAATGCGTAAAGATTGCCGTATAGCAAGTTTTACGGCACACTACATCGATAATCAGTGATAACTGACGTTTCCTTGGCAGGAGTTCCATCCGCCTCTGCAATTTCTTCTTCCCCTTGTGAATGATATGACTCAGGACGAGCCTTCGTTGCGACCTACGATCAGCGAGGCTGTCGCGCGTTTCGCAAGGCTCTGCAATTCACTGACTACATCTCAGCTGCGCGCCTCTCCGAGAGGCGGCTCTGCTGGGTTTAGTCACCGCTGTCGACGGCTTATGTATACTGTGACTGGTGTACCTCCTCTACCTGCGAGGGAGTTCTCGGAGCCTGTCACTGTCATTGATTCATGCCTTCGGTCCTTCTATACGCTTACTCCTGGACATGTCGGTGAGATTAAAGAGACACATTACTCATAGTTACGCTGGCTGTGCTTTACATGCAATTAGAAAGGGTGTGGTTAATTAAGGTTTTGTACTCCATTTGTACGTTACGGAGGGAGGGAGGTCTGAAATGTGGCCGCACTGCAGTTGTACATCTTATCTGTGAGTGATCATTGGACTCGGTGGTTTTCCATGGAATTTTTGATGATCCTTTGCGACGTAGGCGTCATGGATCTCGTACTAAACAGGGTACGTGACTATCCCAGCCGTACTCTTCTTCACATTATCTCAGCGCTGTTGATGGGATCAACTCGTATGATCGAAGTGGCATGGTATACACGAGTTAATCACCTCGGGCAAGTGACAGCTTACACTGTAACGATATATCCATAACGTTCTATCAAATTCAGGACCGGTCTATGAATTGTGATATCTTTTCTTAGCCACGATTTACATTTCATCTCAACGCTTGCTCGGCTGGGCCAGAACAGGATTCCTCATTGTCCTCGCCTATGATTTCTCAAGGGCTAACAATGGTCGAGTCATTGGCTTTTTGCAATAATTCCCTGCTTCCCTTCTCAGTGTATTTTAGCCAAAGGCAGGTACCTACTCTAGATCTCAGGGTTCGATCTGATGAGTTACTGAAACTAAACAGGTGCGGACCTATCATCATCATGTAAGTGAATCATTTCGGATAGTCGTGCCGTATCATGTTATATGATATGATTAATATTGAAGTCAATGCACCTCGTTCATTCATAGGGACCGACTCGGAGCACTAATGGAGTATCCGCCTTGTCGCAGTATTATCGCAGAGGAATGGTTCTATTTTCAGGAACCATTGCTCTTGCTGCACCAGAGTTGAGTCATGGGGCAGACCCTTGAAACGCGTGTTTAGATATAAGACTGAAGGCTTGAAGTCTCTATGTAGGAATCGGTAGGATCTCAGATATCAAGTGTATGTTATCTTCAGGGCTCTCAGCGAGCTAGGCCGTATACTGGGTATCTCCGAGAGGACACTCTCTGACTCTCCTGCGCATATGACCTTCTTTGTAAGGAGGATCCGAAGGCAAACACGAGGGGATGCCGGACGTGAGAATCGATACATTCCCGGAGACCGGTAACTAAAATTGAAGGCTAACTGCCTACCAGTCAATAGAAAATATCATTGCCTCACCTTAAGAAGAACACACCTGTCGTAATGATTGCACACACTGGCCTTCATACGCAGAGTCGCGTCTCAGTGAGTCCCTTTCTGTGAAGGGTTTCGGAAGCGACTGCAGCATGGAGAGATCGTGGCCTGCATTTGCATCGCCGAGTTGTGATATGCATCTCATACATATGCCACAATCATATCCAATTGGTCCTGGACGCCGACATAGCCCTGAAATTTTGAGCGTGGCATCGGGGATACATGTGCGTTCTTGGTGCAAAATATTCATCGACCAATGACATCGAGGTCCTGGTTCAGGCTAGCTGCGGCTGCCGTGAATTGGACGTTGTCATTGCCGTGCACGACGTATGTCAGCATTCGTGGCTATTCGCAGCGGCGAATCTTTTCAAAACATTTTGGCCATAATTTACTGCACCGTGCGAAATTCTCCAGTGTATGGTTATGTTCCCGAGCTGATGGCAAATATATTTTCCACGTAGTGGCAGTGAGCACATAGTGAAGGAGTACCTACTCTCAGAGAGAGAAGGACGGGATGGAACTGTCTGGAAGAATGGACACGGGCGAAGACCGTGAAACGAGGAAATTGAACTACTTCCTACGGAGGCACACTGACTTGCTACGAATAATGGTTATTATTAAGCCAAGCCCATGGACTAGGTTTATCGCGCTACCTAGTAAACAACGCAAAAGCGACTGATTGTGGCTTGTTTGGTTCCAAAGTTTTTGGCAAGAAGGCAACCGAATTCTTTCTTTCTTTTGACCATGACTTTATTCCGCCGTAGTAAGCCTCGAGTGCCGTGGCAGCCCGACCTCTCATGGCGACGATTGGAAATGTTATGGGTGCATCACCATTCCTTTCTGCTCGAATCTGGCTTCCAGCTCCGTCCCAAATTTCACCCAGACTGGAAGCCGACGTGGAAATCGAAAAGCGAGATGATATTTAGCGAAGAGATTCTTGGGCATATGGTATTAGTAAAAGATTATTCTTGTCAGAAAACTGATATTGCATTGCAGAATCCTGACATTATTGACGCAACACGCATTCAAGATGGCAAGCTCGTTACTTTGAAGCGCATCGTGAAGACAGAATTTCCTTTCGAAGTCGAATTGGGAACATTCTTTTCTTCCTCTCCCTTGTCTGATAACCCGAGGAACCACTGTGTTCCTGTCTATGAGGTTCTTCAGTCTCCGTACGATCCTGACGATCAGATGATTGTTATGCCGCGGCTGCGAGAAATGAAGACACCTTCATTTGACACTGTAGGTGAATTCGTTGAGGCGTTTCGACAAATATTTGAGGTGTGTACTCCAGCTCTCTACGAGTGCAGTCCGATTAAACCTCTGAGAAGGGCGTTGAGTTTATGCACGAAAACTTTGTGGCGCACAAGTCAGTCTTCACTTATTTCGCGCTAAACCTATTGACCATTCGCTTCCAGAGATATCAATATATTGAACGTGATGGTCGATGCGAGCAAGCTGTATCCCAAAGGATTTCATCCCGTTTATCATTCTTTAAACAATAACTACACTGGCTTTGCAACGCATATTACACGTACTCAGTGCTGGCCTCGCTATCATATCATTGATTTCGGGTATTCTTGTCGTTACGATCCGAGCGAACTCCCATTTGATCATATCGTGGCCGCAGGCGACAGGTCAGCACCAGAAATGGAGAGAATCCGTGCCGACCCGTCCACTAGATTGAATCCCTTCCCTTTCGATGTGTACTGTGTAGCAAACATAATGCGTAAAGATTATGGTATAGTGAGTTTTGTAGCACCCCCACATCCATGGTTATGATAACTGACTTCTCCTCAGGAATTTTGTCCGGCTCTGAAATTTCTTCTTCCTCTTGTCGAAGATATGACTCAGGATGAGCCTTCGTTGCGGCCAACGATGAGCGAGGCTTCTGCGCGTTTCGTAAGACTGTGTAATTCACTGTCTACATCACAGCTGCGCGCCTTTCCGGGCATCGATGCTGCTGGGCTTGGTCACCGCTGTCGACGGCTGAAATATACTGTGACTGGCGTGGCTCCTTTGCCTGTGAAGAAGTTCTTGGAGCCTGACACTGACACTAATTCACGATTTCGATCCTTCTATACCCTCTCACCTGGACACGTTAGCGGGGTGACCGAGATGTCTCCTTGCACTTAATTATACTGGTTGTACTTTGGCTTGCAATTCAACAGGATGCAGATAGTTTCAAATGCTATATATTTATTCCTTCTTATGCGTCTATTTTCCTGTCAGAACAGGCTACCGAGGCCACTTGATTTATACTAATTTACCTGCGCTGTACATTAAACTATCGGAACAGAGGTGGCTAATCAATATCGGTTTCCCTCGTCGATCTTGCACCGTACCCTCATTTCGCCTTTGATATACAGACAGAAATAGTCCAACTCTCTCCAGTCTTTCTGCTTAAGTTCAACTCTGTTTTTCTTTGATCTGCGTGCTGATCTAAAATATTCTTGGAATGTCAGATCGTCATGACTCAAATCAGCGTGAATTCCCACCGGAGATTCCAGACGCCGTTGTCGATGAGCTGAAGGGCAAAAACATGCTCTGACGCAGATATCTCTGTCTTGCAGCGATCTTTACCGTAGAACTAGGAAATATCTGTTCCATTCCAATTCCTTGTCCAACAAAGCTGACTGCGATCGCCTCTGTGCACTAATCACCCTATTCCCAAAGCTCGCCATCCATTTCAAGCATCTCCATTTTTCTTACCACAACTTTGGGGGTTCAAGTGAATCCCTGTATGTTCATACTTTTTATAATGTGTCTTGATCTAACATTCAATAGGACCTTGAATTTAAGCATAAAAGTTTGTGTCGGATGAGTCAGTGTTTTCCCAGCCGTTTAGTACTTCGTATTTGCCACTCCGTTCTAGTACGGACAGAGATATCAGCATCTCGAACGTGGTGCTAGACGCGACCAAGCTGTATCCTGCAGGCTTCCATCCCATTCATCAATCCCTAGATGATAAATATACTGGTCTCGCGACACACATTACGCATACTCAACACTGGTCTTGCTACTATATCATTCATTTTGTGTGTTCTCGCTGCTACGATCTGAACGAACTTCCAAGCGATAGGTCTGTGCCAGAGACCTTAAGAGGCTCCGTGCGGACCCATCTGCCAGATTCACTCCGTTCTCTTTCGATATTTACTGTATAGTGAACACAATACGTCATGATTATGATATAGTGAATTTTAGGACACTACTATATGAATAAAGACATGGTCTGAGGAAGGAAGCATCGACTCGGTCATCTTGCCAAAGACTTCGGAACTAAACAGGCCACAATAGATCAATCCCTGTAATATTTTAATGGCACATTTATTAAATCACCTGATAATTTCTTTGCTCAAGCCCTTCCCAGATCCATTTTCATGAAATAATTGATTGCAACATTCCAATCTGATGTCAATATAGCTGCTGCACAAATAGCCAAAATGTTCTGCTTGCTGTTAGGATGGAAACAGAGGACCACAATGAGTCAATGACACTGATATAGTCAAATCTGCAGCAGCCACAGCCATGACTCAGACCCTGATGAATAGTTTGAAATAAGAATGCACATGCACCTGAAAGATAAGTATCTGCCAGGCTGTGCACTTGAGTGAGCATGATAATTATTTGGGGCAATCACTCAAATATCCACTGGGCATCAAGGATGTGTATATGATATGACAGTGTTCTGCATATGATGCATATCATAACTCTGTGATACTGGAAAATATAATGGACCACCTTGGACAAATCAATTGATCTTTTCAAAGGAGAGTTCTGCTTCTAAGATCTCTGTACACTCAGTCATGTATGATTGTGGCAAAGAGTGCATCAGTCATTTTGAAAACCCTTGATGAAAGAAGGCTACTGTCATGTTGAGATGAGTCTTGAGGTATGCTAATCAAGAAAGTAATCACAAACTCACCAACAATGGTTCTGATTCTATGCTCCATATATCATTCTCATTTGCCTTGCAGACAATTTGGTTATTTATTCAGCAGGGATTGGATCAGTAGTACTGGAGCCAGAAATTCAGGAAAAGGAAGGTTCAGTAGTGGAGTTTTTTGACACACTGCATTGAAGAGGTTTGGTTCATGCACAATGTGGAAACTGATACAGCAGAGGACTATCCACTGATCACACTCACACCAACACACACATGCACACACACACACACACAATGCTCTTAGTTCATTAGGGGATTGTAATGCAATAAGAGTAGTAAATGGCAAATACAATTGTCTCTTCAATAATCCACTGCATGCAGTCAGTAATACCACACATATATTTATCTAAGATCTCTCTAAGTCTTAAAGCTTTTGTTTAAAAACAGGAGAAGTGACAAGTGTCACTGGGCCTTAAGGCAAGAGTACTGTAGCTCAATATAATACTCTGAAACACTCTCACAAAACTCTCAAAAAGTCCCAAGTACTGCTCATATCAACTCAAAATCTCTAAAACACACAATGCATGACTTAAAACTTCACACTCTAAGCAGAAAACTTTCACAATTCTGTCTACAAGTACAAAAGAGTTTAAACCTCTGTGCACAAGTTTTCTAACTGATCATAGATCCACAGGATTCAAACCTATGTGATCTAGAGATAAAAACACATAAAAACTCTATCCACAGGCTCAAAAGGTTTGAACCTCTGCCACCTATAGTGTCTCATATCACAAATACCTTAAAAACTTAGAAGAGTGCCCTTCAGACATTGCTCTTTTATTCTCAGTCAAGAGCACAATTCAAAATTTTCTATCAAGTCAGATTAGAGTTTCTCACAAGTTTTTATGCCTCATATTATACTCAAATCACTTGTAATAATCTCAATATCAGGTTTATTCTCTTGTCTGAAGTTACAAAATTGAACCCAGAGCTGGAGCACAAGGTCTTTGTGCTCAATACACTGCAACTGTGAGAAGTCAGAAACTTGTCTACTACTTTTACAATGTGGTATTTAAATAGGTTACTACTGTACTTACTAAGAGAAACCTAGCATAGTAGTTTCAATACATGAGACTCTGCTCCAGAGTCTCTCACAGGTTATCTCCATACATATCACTGTTTGATGTGCATATTCTGCTTTGGGTTGGAACTGTGTCCTCTGTTTCTATGCAACCTGATATCAGTTAGCTTTGTTAGTGAGCCTAGCCACAGGTCTCTTCACTTTTTTATCTTCTCAAGATTATTCTGTCATAATTGTTATATTCTCTAGTTGAATGTCTGAATATTCTGTCTTACTTACAATGTGTGTCACTTCTGGCCTAGAGTATATCAATTAATCTATCTCATGATTATGCATTATACATCAGTACTGTGTAAAGTCCCATGCAAGATCATGTATGGAGTTTCTCTCATATAAGATCATATCTGTAATTCCATGTGATTTTTATTCTTAGTGTGCAAGCTCTGTACTATTGTCAGTACATTTAGTGTCAAGTACTGAGACTTTCTGCACAGTGTGATCCTTCAGTATCATCTTGAAGCTAAATCATGTACTCCATCAATTATCACTCAAGCCTATCATAGCTAGCCTTTTTTTTATTGTGCTTTAGCTCTATTTTGCTTCACATGCCTAGTAGTACTTTTGTACTTAGCATATAGTACTGTATTTTGCAAAATTACATGCATGATATGTTCAGAGCATGTCAGCATATACCAGCATTGAAAAGTAATCTCTTATCATTCTATCATCTCACTTGGAAAAAAGAGTTTATGATTTCAATCACCAGATCAGATGTCACTTTTAGCCAGAATAGAAAGACTCAATTCACTGCAATTATAAATAAAAGCAATATTAGTTATATCAATGTCAACACACATTTATTCTCAAAATCAATCACTATCACTGCAAACTTAAGCTCTGCAAGTACCTGCTGGATGGATAATACACTTTGGTATAGATAGTGCTATCATCAAAATATAGATGCTATACAGTACATGCATATGAAGCAGCTAGTAACTGGTATGAAGTGAGAGTCAGACTCTCCAACTAATCTCATCAGCACACCATACCTCACTGATAAACAGCATCCTCACAATATTCTTCATAGCTTCTCAGAGTGAAATAAACATCTTCTTGAGCAGTTATGCAGTGATATCAAAGGTCCAATGCCTGTTGCAACTAAAGTAATAAGAATAATATTATGAAAACTATTAAGATAAGTAAGTAATAGTATATAGGTATATGAGTTAGTGAGTATATCTCAGTTGGTACAGTAAAAGATGAAATGACTGAGGATGTAGTAGTAACTATGAGGTATATATATAGGCAGTATAAAGTATAGATGATCAGAAAATGAAATATAGGTAAGTAGACAGAAAAGAATCAGATGCATGTGTTTCATTCAACACTCTCAGACATAGCAGATTAATTGGTGATGTTCAGATTGGTGATATAGCAATAATAGTAGTCATGGTGAAGTGGCTTGGTGAATAGACCTGCAGCACTGACCTTTCTTCAAATGAGTTTGATCTTGATATCATTTGCTCATATGAGTTTCTGTATAAAGTGTTCATGAATATCAATATATTTGACCTTATAGTGGTTTTGAGTCATGTTTGTAAGTGAGATGGTGCTGCAGTTGCCACACTTTAGTATCCTCAGTCTTTTTTGCTCCAGCTGAATCTTCTTTAACCACAAGAACATCCACTTCAACTGTTATGCTACTCTGGTGAGTGATACAAACTCTACTTTGGTAGGGAATAGTGCTATAGTAGCTTGACATTTGGAACTCCATGACACTGGACTCTCAACTATCATAAATACATATCTAGAGATAGATTTCATTATGTCTTTGCATCTTTCATAGTCAGCATTGATGAAATCTATAGATTTGATAGGTTCACTCTGAGTATAGGTGACTCTGTAGTTTATGGTAGTTTTGATGTATCCAATTACATGCATGAGAGAGTTTCAATGAGCTAGTTCAGAGTTGTTTTGGAAATGAGAAAGCAGGCTGACCACATATGCAAAGTCAGGCCTAATAGCTAATTGTTTTCACATCACAGAATCTAAGACCTGGCAGTAGGGCTTCCCTTCTATTTATTCATCCTTCTTTAAAGATGGCACTATCATTAAGTTCAGAATTGTTCCAATAGGCATCTGCATTGAGCGGAGTGGAACACTCTGCAACTTAAACATTTTGATAACATGTTCTCAATATAGCCATTGTAATAATCAAACTATTCTAGCTTTTATATTTTAGTCAATATGCATACCTAGGAAGTAGCTGTTCTCTCTCACATCCTTGATTTCCCATTGTTGTATCAGTTCATTATTTCTTTTGTCTGCTTCTTCA